TTCCGTCGCGGCCGGCACGGGGACGGCGACGGCGGCGGCGGCGGCGTGTGGGGCCGCCCGGCAGCAGCGGACGAGGACGCCTGGAATGCGGCCCCTCCGAGCTTCCAACCGCCCGTGCGCCGCGTCGACCCGCTCTCGCTGACGGCGGTGGAGGTGGAGGTGGACGGCGTGAAGAAGCTTGTTGGACAGCGCGTGCTCGTATCCGGGCTGGCGGACGACACGACGTGGCACATGCTGAAGGACCACCTGCGCCAAGCCGGCGACGTCACCTTCTGCCGCACCTTCAACAGCGGCCGTGGCATGGTGGAATTCGCAACGCCTGAGGAGGCTGCGCGGTGCATTACGGAGCTGCAGGCCTCCGAGTTAGAAGGGGGTACGCTCTACCTCCGCGAAGATCGCGAGGACACCGTGTTGATCAACACACGCCGCAAAATCCGTGAGGCTCGGGAGGCGCAGCTGCGGGCTCGGAAGGAGGAGGCCGAGAAGGCGCGACGTGCGAAAGCCGTGGAGCAAGGCGACGTCCCTGAGCCGTCGTCGTCGTCGACAGCGCAGCCGTGATGCGATAACGCTCTTTGCTCAGCTTGATTGGTGGACGACTGCTCGCGTAAAGGCGCTGACCAATATCGCCACGCTTTTTTGGAGTGCTCTTTTAGGAGCGTGTTTCCCATCTTCAGTGGAGCGGGCGACATTCGGGTCTCGGTGAGGTAAGAAGGGTCTTGTTAGTCATTTTTCGGCATTCCTCACCTCTTATGTGTTCACCATTTGTCTTTGTCAGTGTGTGGTGAGGGATGCTCTGGGGGATTTATGCGTTCACGGGTACGGCGAGCTTTTCGCAGCACAGATGATTTGCTGATTAACAACATGAAAAAACGTATGTTCCATTCCAACCTTGTGTTTAGTGCGCGAGGAGAGGTGTCTCAACGGCGGTAGAGGAAAGGAAGGATCCACCATCTTCGGGACAAAGGATGGTGCTTGCACACCGCCTTTTTTTTGTCTGTGCAACACGACGGCCTTTTTGGCGAGGTGACCTGGCCGCTTTTTGTGTTGCTGTTTCAAAGGTCCATCGTCGGTGGGGGTCAGGTCCTGCAATCGTTGCCTCGCCGATTGCACAAGCGCGCTGTCGTCGGTTGGCTGCTTCGCTTACCCGACGAGTATTTGTTACTTGATGTCTGCGGAGTGAATTGTGATGGGTGGAGAAGGTGGACAAACGCGCTGAACATGTTTCTCCCACATATTGAATCTTTTCTTTCACTCAATGCTTTTTGTTTAAATGGATGAAGCTGAAGGGACAAGCATTTGAAGAAAGCGACGTGCCGAGTGGCGAAGGTTGAGGGTTGCTGTGCAAAAGCATGTCAGCGAACGCCTAAATTCCACTTGCGCTTTCTTCTTTTCACCACATTCCCACCCACCCACGAAACCGCATGCGTGTAGCGCAGCGCGTTGAGTTTTCTCTCTCGAAGGGGAGAGTGGAAAAACTGATTCTGTGCCTCGGCTACGACGATGGCGCCCTTGTCTCTCGCACCCGCGGCGCCCTCGCCACGCGCGTGACACAGCATCTCTTACGGCATTGCCAACCAGGGCAGAGCGACGTGCACAACCCAGAGGTGACGCGCGCCAACGCACGCGATCGGCACGGCCGGCCGCGTCTCTTCTACGCGGCGCAGGAGAGGCAACGCCGACGCGGCAACCGCCACGGCCGTGGCGAGGCGTTGCGCACTCCGCAGACGTGGGACACGAGTCGCGTCGTTGACTTCATGGGTGTGTGGTGCGACCGTCTGTTGCTGGGCGATGACCGGCGGCCATCGCGGTGTGCGGTACTGGAGCCGCACGTGCCGCCGATGCTGTGGGGAGAGTCGATTGCACGGGTGGCGCAGTCGCACCGGTGTCTCTCGAGGGACGACATTTTAGTAGTGAAATCGGACGAGTCGCTGCCTTTTGGTGTAGTGCGGCTTCGATTCGAAGCACCCGCCTGCACCGCCGCCGCCGCAGCAACAACAGCAAGTGCAGTGCAGACGTCCTCCGCTTCGTTTTTGCGCGGCACAACTACCGTAAGTGAGGCGTTGAAGTTGTTTACCGCACCCCAGCGACCGCCTTCGTATCTTCAACTCGGCATAGGTGCTGATCACGGGACGCAATCTCTCTTCACCACCGAGGAGACGCACTTTGCTGACCACCTTCTCCTTCCCCTCTGCACCTTCACGGCAGCGCTGTGGACGGCAAGCCCGCACAAGGCAGCCGACTACGTTGCCGCGCTCACCGCCAGGCCGGAGACGCTCACCGAAGCGACGGCGAACCACCGGCTCTGGCGCACGATGCAGCACGCGATGTTGTCCACGCGAGACACGGCGCTGCTGCGCGCCTACTTCAGCGATGCAGCGCTGGATGCCCGTTTCAGCCCGGCGCAAACGCGTTACTTCGCCGAGACGCTGCTGCGGCGGTTGCGTGAGGAGGAGTTGCAGCGCTGAGTGCTGCACGCCACGACGCGTCCCTCCTCAGCCTCCCCCCCCCCCCCCCGGGGGTACGGGGCTGTCTTGGCCGCTGTTTTTCCTCCGTTTCTTTTTTTTTGCCACCACTAATCTTTTTGCTTTGTGCTGCTTTCCATGGGCGCTTCAACGACAGCGGATATGCGCTACCGCAGCGGTAGCTGAGATGCCGACAGAAAAAGGCGCAACACGCGCCTTCGTTTCCACTCCGGACCTTGGCCCCTATTAAAAAAAAGGGGGGGGGGCGACTTCCTTAACAGGTCGATGTTTTTCCTTGGGGAAGTTGGGGAGGGCGATTTCCCTCCCCCTCTCTCATTATGCTTTCACGGGCCGCATCTCCCTTCCTTGACTACCATCGCCGCAAACACAAATAACAGAGCTGCATTAGACGTTTTAGTGACTGTCTATTCACCCCTTTTATCAAGCACAATATAAGCCGCTTTCAAATCACTGCAAACCACCCGAGCAAACGAAGCTGCGATGGCTGCGCGAGCACTGAAGCTGTACGTGGGGGCGACGTGCCCCTTCTGCCACCGGGTGGAGATCGCGGCGCACGAGAAGAAGGTGGCGTACGAGCGCGTGGTGGTGGGCCTGCGGGAGGACATGCCGCAGTGGTACAAGGAGATCAACCCGCGCGAGACGGTGCCGACGCTGGAGGTGGGGGAGGCGAAGCGACTGGTGTTCGAGTCGACGCTGATTGCGCAGTACTTCGACAACATCGGGACGCCTGCGGGGTCGTTGATGGGCTCGTCGCCGCTGCAGCGCCACCGTATCGAGTTCTTCCTGAGCCAAATGGGCGACTTCATCGGCGCTGCGCACCAGCTGCTGGGCGATCCGCTGAGCGCGGAGAAGCGCAAGGCGGTGGCGGAGAACGCCGCTTACGTGGACGGGCTGCTGGCGGCGAACCAGACGACGGGCCCCTTCTACTTCGACGAGGAGTTCACGATGGCGGACGTGGCGCTGGTGCCGTTCCTGGTGCGGCTGAGGCCTGCGATGATGTACTACTCGGGCTACGACGTGTTCAACAAGGCGCCGCGCATGAAGGCGCTATGGGCTGCGGCGGCGCAGCGGCCATCAGTTCGCGAGACGACGCTGCCGTCAGATCAATGCGTGGAGAACTACCGCCACCTGGTGCCGGAGAGTGCGCCGATGATGGGCGCGAACGGCGGGTACGTGCTGTACGGGAACAAGGCATGCCCCTTCGTGGACCGCGCGCGGCTGGCGTGTGCGCTGCGGCGTTTCAAGCCGTACTACGTGGAGATCGCCCTGCACCCGCAGCCGGAGTGGTACAAGTTCATCAACCCTCGCGAGACGGTGCCTGCGCTGTTCACGCCGGAAGGCGAGGCGGTGCACGAGTCACAGCTGATTGCGAACTACGTGGACGGCATTGCGACGGAGGGTGCGGCGCTGCTGCCGCGCGGTGACGCGGACAAAGAGTACGAGGTGACGTTCTTCATTGACAACGCGAGCAACTTCGTGGGCGCCATGTACTACTTCACCAGCCACCCAGAGGACAAGGACACGAAGGCGGAGCTTCTGTGGGCTGCCGGTGAGCTGGAGAAGCAGCTGGCAAAGCACCCCTTTGGCGAAGGTCCGTTCTTTGGCGGCACACAGATGAACCTGGGTGATGTTTCCGTTCTGCCTTTTTTGGTGCGCTTGAAGGCCTACACGCCCGCGCTGACGGCAGGCTACAACTTGTTCAGCGAGTTCCCTCTCTTGTCTGGACTGCTGGAGGCTGGCATGGCGAGCGCGGAGGGCAAGGAGGTCTTTCTCCCACTGAACGAGTACCTGGAGGGGACATTGGCCCGTCGCAACCGCAAATGAAACGATCGCTGCTTGTTCCCGCCCGAGTCCTTCTTTCTCTGGGAGCCGGGTGTCTTCGACAAAGCGTTGCTGTCCTCTTGCATTTCAACGAGGAGGGCCACAGTCAAGCCGGTGCGTGGAAGCAATGATCTGTGTGGATTGCGCAAGAGACGAGATGACGCGAAAAGCGTATGTTTACCTTTTTTTTGTTTCTCCTTTCTTCTCGGCGCTTGTGTGCTGCAAGGGGACTCGCTTGTTGAAAGCAGCTCCTTCAACCCCTCAATATTTATCGTGCTATTACCACTTCTATTGTTATTACTACTTTTGACGTCTCGATCATTACTGTTTTCATGCTGTCGAATGCCGCCGCCGGCGTATTTTCCTTCGCTGACTTCGTCTTACCCGACGCGCGTCACTTTCGTTTTAAAGAGGGGACACGTGCCGGACGCGCCGTAAGGCGGCGTGCTCTCCGTCAAGTGGATTTCTATTCACCTTATTTACCCTATTCCTATTATTCGTGTGGCTTTTTGCAGGCTGTACGCTACCATCACGTGTGAGGCTTTCGTTGCGCTGTTTTCTGGATTCACCGACATGTCTCTCCCATTGCGCAGTCGACACAGCTGAGGCTTTGCTGCAAGGCAAAGCCGGCAAATAAAGCAAAGTACTGCAACTCACTCTAAGTTCCGTGTAAACTGTGCCGGAGTGCACCGGTTTTTCGACGGTGATGGTTGGAACACCGTCACTTCATGCTTCATCGCGTCATAATTGGATGAGAGAGCTCCGTGGTAATGCTCGCACGCATGAGCTTTTTTCCCCTTTTCGTGTCTGCTGTGCTTCCAACTGGGAGCACTCAAATAAACGGCAAAAATAGCTGTTTTTTTCCCTTCTTCCTGATTTGGGTGTCTGCGGTGACGCCGCAGGCAGAGGCGCGAACACAATTTTTTTCGCTTCTCTCTCTTTATCCTTTTGAATCGTCGGCTCTTCATCTGTGCAGCTGCGTGGCGGGCACCCTGTAGCACCGCAAACCTCTTCGATTCCCCTTTTCAACTTTAAATTCCTTCCCTCGTGAGGATGGTATGGCTGCGACGTTCTGCGGTGCTGCTGTCGATCTGTGGGGCGACACTCCTCCTGACGCTTTTCTGCGTGCCATTCAAGCGCAGCGCCAACCCATTTGGCGTGCGCTGTGGGCGCAATGCCTCGACCAACAGGAACGAGTGAAGCCGCTTTCAGGCGAAAGGAAAGAAGGACACGATCGCCCTCTCCAAGGTGGCCTGGCAAAGGCGGATGCAGCGGTGATTGTGGCAGGATTTGTGCTGAGTGTGACACGCTCTACCGTGACCGCGGCTGCCATCGCTGCCGAAGCAAACACCGTTGATTCCCCGTCAGAGACGAATGCGCACCCATTGCCATTGTCACGGGGGGCCAGGCGGTACCTTTGCGTCTCCCTCGGCTCCGGGTCTCGCTGCCTCGGCGTGCGTGACGCAGCATCCAACACTGCCGAAGAGGAGCTGCAGCGCGCCTTTGAGCTGCGCGACGGCCACGCGGAAGTGATGGCGCGTCGTGGTTTGCTTGCGTTTCTGATCGAGCTCGCCGAATGCGGTGTGCGAGCTTCAAATCAAGAAGAGGCCATTCACGTTCCCTTCTTGCAGAGGGTCATCGTGCCTGCTGAGACTTCGAACACGTCGACGTTAACAGCCAACAGGTGTGGGTGGGCGTTGCAGGACGATGTTGAGGTGCATCTCGTGTGTTCGCGGTGGATGTGTGGATCTTTGGCAGCGGTCGCGGGTGGCGCCGGTCGCAGCGGCCATCTTTTACTACGTGCCGGTTGCCGCTGCTGGGCAAACAAGTCGGCTGAACGAACAGCGGAGCAAGAGGAGGAAGTGCAAGGCCATGTGTGTGCCGGCGGACACGCCGCAGCGCCGTCTCCGATCCTTCACGTACAGAAGCATGTAGTCGCTGCTCACTGCTCCCCGCTGGACGACGCTGGGAAGTACGCCAAATGCGCGCGTGTTAAGCCTGGCCGAGGGCGGCCAAATCTGACGATGTCCTGCACGGACAAGGTGTGGCGGTGGAGCGTGCTGGGGCTGCAGGGCCGCCGACGAGCGACGTTGTTCCCGAAACCGATGCGCCTATCGTCGGTGCACGTACTCCGATCGCCCAACGCGCCGCCGGCGTCGATGGCCGAGAGTGTTGCAGGCGCCGCCGCGAGAGCGCGGGAGCTCTTCCAGTGGAGGACGCGGTCGTGGTGGCCGGCGCTGGATGCCGCGGAGCTCGCACGCGTCACGCCCACGTTCTCCTTCTTTTTCGCACCTTCACGCACCGGTGCGGCGGCTCCCTCGGTGTCTTCGTCCCCGCCTCTGGTGGGAAATGAGCGCGAGGACAGCAGCTACTCTCGCTCCCGGTGGCTGACGGTGCACCACCCACCCGCCGCTTCCTCCCCTACCCAACTGCGCAAACGAGAGCGAGAGGAAAGCGCGGGGGTAGACGGCGCGGGTAGGTGCGCGGCTCTGCGGTGCGATTGGCACGTAGAACACACCTCTGCTAGCCACAATTCTCTCGTGCTCAACACCAAGGCGGGGCTCCCGCAGGGTATGACCGCCCGCGCCCTCCAAAGACGCGGCGGTCTGCCAACAAAAAACTCAAATGCTGCTGCAGCGGAGACGGAGACGCGTGCGTCTGTGTCGGCAACGACAGAATCCATGTGGCGACACTGCCCCCTCTCACGGCCATGGATGGCGCACCACGTGGAGCGTGCCAGTGCGGCAGCCAACAGCGCCGCAGCGACGGCTTCGTGTACTCTTCCCTCTTCTTCCTCTTTTCTGGACTCCATGACGCTTCTGCCTATGGGACAGCTTGCCCACCAGCACCATGTGCGGCCAGAACAGGCGGGCAATGACAACACCTTGTTTCTGTGGACTACAACGGAAGGCAATGCAGAGGAGGAGACAGAGGCGGTCGAGAACACGCGGCGCTCCTGCATGTCAGATGTGGAGGACAGTGCGTCAGCCCTCTGAACTGGTGGAGAGGAAACGAAGGCCTGCCATCAACACCGTTTTCTTCTCTCCAACGGCACAAGTGGTGAAGCGTAAACTGTTGTTTCAGCTCATCGTGATTCTGTCACTTTAGGAAGCCAGCAAACGTCATCAACACTATCAAGATTTTACTAGAATCTTTCCAGCGGATGAATACAACCGCTCGCGGAGGGGCGCGCTTTTGAAAAGACCCACAATGATATTTGGGGTTTCCTTTTTTTTTTCTGAGAGGATCATCCTGTCAGCGATGCACCGTCTCCGAATCCCAAACCGAACCTTTGCTTTTTATCAATGAAAAGCAATAGCTGGCCAAAGTCGCTTCCATCGATGCGCACGCCGCGGGCGCCGTCTTTCTTGCATTCCCTAATTGCTTGTTGTCTTCCTCCCTCTTTCTCTCCCGTTTTCTTTTTCTTACATTCTCTTTTCCCGCACGTCTGGGCTTGGCTCACACCCCACCACGGATTAACCCCCCCCCCTCCCCCCATCTCAGTAGGTTAAACTAAACCGTAACTTTAATAAAGAACCATTTGATTCCAATCTCGTTCGCTATTCATACTTCACTTACTTTATTTCTTCCTTTGCACGCCGTGCTTCCCCTTTGCAGTGCAGCACATCATCATCATCTTTTTGTTTGTTTGATTGTCTTTTACGCATAACACCGTGCCCGCAGTCGCTACCCCCTTTTTTTTCATTTACCGTCACTTTGCTGAGGCGAAGAAGTCAAAAGCCTCTCTCACTCGTGGTGCACTTATACTACATCACAGACCAGGAAAAGCAGACGTTATTGCTGCCAGCTGTGCCATTAGAGCTTCTTTATCCACCCGCACGTTTCATATTCCTCTTCTGTTGTTACGCTTAAGTGTGCTAACCGCAGCATTTATATTTCTTTTTTTTTTGTTCCTATATCTTTCCTTTTTCCTTTCCCCGTTAGTGCGTGTGCATCACCACTGAGCTTAACTGGAATCCGACAGAATATATATTTTTACTCAGGGGGTGTTGAGACACACAAACAAGGTGAGCAACGCAGTGGAGCAGACGTAGAGACCATTTCAGCAGAGATCGGAGGAAAAGGTTGATCTGAGGAGGACGTGTCGGAAGTACGAAGTGCGCGAAAGGCACCGTTACAACTGATAAGCTGTACTCCTCGTGGCTGCGGTCGACACCAAGTGTTGTTTTAAAGAATCACCGCAGCAGGCCAAATTAACTGCTTCTTTTTATTTTTGAAGTCTGCACTCTGTGTTGAGCTGTTCTTGTTTTCACTTTGCCACCTTTGCATTCTTTTTTTCCCCTTTTTTTATTATCTTTTGTTCACTAAAAAGAAACCTTCCTTACCACTTTTGTTTTCATCATTTTCACTTCTCCTATCACTTTGTTTACCCACACACGCGCACACAATAAGTTACCTGGCATTCTATCTCTTTCGTGATTCATTCTTCTCTCTTGCCACTGTCGTTCTTTCCATCTTTCCATCTTTCTCTTTCTCGTCTCACCCTTCCACGCATATCATTCGTGTTTTCGTCGAAGACGGATCAAACCGTCCCCCCTTTTTCCTTAAAAAAAGAATACTATTGATCGCCTTACCCTCTGACGGAGGAAAAAATCGCAAAGACCGGCCATCGATTTCGATCTCTCCCGTGCTGCGTTTTGTCGTCTCTTCCGGCCCGTCTACCGTGAGGGAGTAAAGCAGACAGCCCATATTTTCCCTGTCGCCCCTGTTTTCCCTCTTTTTCGTTGTTTTAGCGGCTTTTCTCCCTCCGTTCTAATTGTTTCCGTCCACCGTGTGTTTATTGTGCCCTTGGCCTTTTCTTTTTTTTCTCTCTTCCCCGACCCACTCTAAGACTCTCTTAAGCTGAATAATACTTTTGCTTGTTTCTTCTTGGTTCTGTTCTTAGGGATCTTAATCAAAAGAACACGTCTTAGTTGCGTAAGCAAGGTGTTCGCCGTCTTGTTCGTGTTTGCACGCAAACAAAACCGCTGCTCCCTCACAGCAACGTCGGTGGCAGTCAAGGTGGCGTACCCACAAACTAATCTTTTGTCTCGTCGCAGGTTTTATTATTATTATTATTGTTCTACTTACTTGCCTCTGGCAGCTCAGACAGGGAAGCGCGGATACATACGTGTCTTCACTCGTGCACCTACACGTAAACCGACTCTGCCCAGGTGCTTGTCGACGTACGAGCTCTTGCGCGTAAGTGCTTCGGAGACACTGAGCGGCGCACCGCTTCTGCTACTCGCACGCCTTCCCGAAAACACATTCACACGTCAACGTCACCGGGCTACCTAACGGCACCTTTTTTATACTACTTGTCGTCTTTGAGGAAGCAAGTCGTGGAAGTGAGAGCGGAAGACAACGCATTCCAGGGCAGACGCACCGCTTTTTTGTGTGCGTGTTGCAGTCTCTGGCGCACAAAGAACATTGCCAAAGGAGAGAAGTTAATCAAAGTAGAAGAAACACGTTCGGTGCGTCAGGGTAGTCCTTTCTTTTCTTTGGACTTCTCGCGTTTCTAATGAGTCAGCCAAACAACGGAAACGAAGGCGGTTCACAACATTCCACTTTTGCTGGCTTTCCCTCCATCATGGGCGACGTTCCTCCAAATGCCAGCGCGGCTGGATTGAAGGGCAACGCCCTCAACTCGAGCTACATGAACTACAGCGGCAACACAAACAGAATCACGGACATGCAGAGTATCTCGTACAGTCGCGACCTCACCCAGGCCAGTTCCATGCGGAACAGCACCAGTGCCTTGCGGATTACCTCTCCAGGCTGCTTTGACGGTGGGATGTTCACACACGTTCCAGCGCCCCCCACCGCGATGTTGCGCCGCACGATCGACTCCATCGACCAACTCGCCGCCTCGGGGGTTCAACGCTTCGACAACAGCCTCAGCTTCTCGGCGAGTGCGTCGTACGTGCCCGTAGGGACGCAGCAGTGGGGATGCGTGCCGCCTCCGTCGTCTGGACCGGAAGGCACGCAGAGCGCCGCCCCTTGCGTCTACACCAAAATCCCTCCGAACGGGGTGTTAGTGCGCATGATGGACCCGGCAGGGAATGCTGTATGGCACATCCAATCAGATGGCAACACCATTCCCCCGCCACCACCGCCACCGCTGCCTCACCAGCCGCAACAGCGGCCGCAATTGCAGTCACAGCAGCAACCGGCCGTCGCCATCGCTTCTCCGACGCAGACGTCGGTGCGTGAAAGCCCCGGCTCCTCCTTCGTCCCGGCGCCGGCGACAGCCGCCACGACGGTGGCCCCACCGCCTTTTAAGGTGTCGCCACTCGCGTGGAACCTGCAGGCGCCACTCGGCGTCGCGGGGGGTGCGGGGGACGCCTCGCCCGACACCCAACCCAGCCGGAGCACGACCTCTCCTCGCACCGAAGGCGATGCGGACGACTACGAATACGAGCCCTACAATTCCAACACTCTCGCCAACCGCCGCGTCGGCTCCCTTGACCGGGTGCGCTGTAAGGTGCACGGAAAGGAGCGCTCGGCGCAGAACATGGTCATGGTGCGCAGCAAAGCCACCAACGAGATACACTGGCGCTGCAAGCGGTCGAGTCAGTGCAAAGTGCGTACGATCGATTGCGATGACGCCGCGCTCAACAGCAACGAGAACGCGCTGCGCAACAACGGCGCGGAGTCTCTGATGTCGCCCACGCCTGACCAGGTGCCCGCCGTCTCGCTGAACCAGTTCTTCCCCAACGCAAGTGTGCCATGGAGTCGCCGACCCCCGGCGCCGCCGCAGTACTCACTTGTGTCGCCCAACAACGGTGCGCTTCCAATGAATGCCAGCTTCCAGTCCATGTCCCAGTCAGTGCACGCGTACACGCCAGACTACGTGCCATCAGCAGCTCAAGTGGTGACGCTGCCCTCCGCTTTTTCGCAGAACCATCCGCCGTACGCGGCAAACACTATTTACTATCCAGTGTATGCCCAGGAGAACGCCCAGCAACCACCGCCGCCGCCGCCGCCTCAGCCACCGCAGCAGCAAAGTGGGTTTGTGACGGTTAACGGAGTACCGTATCGCCTCGTTCATGTAGAGGCTCCTTCGACACACATGCGCTAGCGAGATTGGACGTGAAACGGCAGCGTGTGAACTCACGGGAAAAAGCCGGGCGTTTGGTCCTTCTTCTTTTTGCTTCCTCCCTTCTTTTCTCTTTGCAAAACATGATTAAAAGGGAAAATAAGGAACGGCAAAAAAAGAAACCTGCTTATTTGACGTTGTACAGGCAAGGTTTATCGTGTGAAAAATGCAGTGCTGTATGGAGTTCTGATCACCGCAGTAGTTTGGATCGTTCTACTTAACCTCGTATCTTTCTTTTTGTTTTTCAAGTTAGCTCTCTCTCTCCCTCCCTTTTTTTTTGGCTAATTCTTCTAACCTCTACCGTTTGAGTTCTGCGTGGAAATAGCTCTTCTCTTTTGTATAATTTTTCCCGGTCATCGTTTCTGGCAATGTGTGTCGAGCATGCAAGCTTACTGAAAAGAGTAACGAAAGTTTCCTTTTCTTTTACCTCTTTAGTTCCGCCGATGCATACCATTTTCGATAGAAAGACGCCTCTTTTTATTTTTCTCTTTCAAACTTCCGAATTTCTTCGTCTTTGTTTACCTCAATATTGCTCTCAGCGAGTTTGCCGTACAAAGTTGTGTTTTCCGTTGCGAAGTTGCTCTCCAGCTTTCGTGACCGAATTGCTCGGTTTCTATTTCTTTTACTTCTTTTTCCCAAGAACAAAGAACTATATAACTTTCTTGTTTCTTCGCTATCATTTTTTTTTTCTTGACTTCACTCATCTACTTCGCTTTTTCCTTTTTTTTTGGCTTTGATGACATACACCATCGTCTCTTCCCTTCTCTTTCGCGCATTTGTGCATGCGTTGGAGAGCTCTGTTTCTTCTTCTGTGTGTACTCCGTCAAAATTTATCGCCTACTTTTTCGTTTTGTCGTCTTCCTTTTTCTTCTTTGGGCGGTTTCGTTTCCGTTCCCGAATGAAAAGAAAAATCTTTTCCCCCTCCTCCTTCGTGCAGTGTTCTTTCCTTTTGTTTTCGCCTTTCTTTCTCCCGCAAATAAGCCGAGCGTACAGGGCTGAAAGCTTTGCTTCGGTAGAGGAAGGAGAGCAGCACGTGCAGAAGAGACGCACTCCATACCACGTCGCTGCTCCGCCCCTCGTTCTTTTTTCCCCCTTTTCTTCTTTTCAAGATTCCTTTCCATTCGTTCTCGATCTACACCTCCCCCCTTTGTCGTCTTCTGCGTTCCTCTTTCCTCTCTCCTCTCTCCTCTTTCCTTTCTCCTCTCTCCCTTCTTCTTTGTCTCGTGCATCCAAGCCTTCCCGCGAATGTTAAAAGCTCTCAAAAATGGTTTTTCTTTCCCCGTTGGGACGATACGGCAACTGCGTGCCGAAGCAGCAATCACCTGTAACGCGTCTTCTTCTGTGAAGTGTCATCCTTTGGATTACTGGTTTGGACTGTCCTTGCTCTTCGTTTTTCTATTCGTGTTTCAGCAGCTATACAGTATGTTTTCTACCCCTTTTTCTTCCCCTCTCTTCGTGTATATTTTATAAAAGAAAAGAACTCTTGCGAAGTTGTAAGAGACCATTTTCTTGTGTTTTCTCTTACGCACACACGCACTCCCTTTTGGGTGTCTTCTCCGCGAAGCAGCTTGCCGTGTCTCGGACAATAGTGATGAATTCTGTGAGGTTGCGGTAGACACAGGCTGCTATTTTTCCCCTTTTGCGAGACTCATGTGCGTGTGCGTGTACGTGCGTGTGTGTGTGTATGTGTGAGTGATGGAAAGGCACAACACGGTTTTAACCGGGTCATAACGAAAGCTTGATCGTAGTTCTCGCAAATCAGTGGAGTGAATAATTTTATTTCCTTTATATCTTTTGTTTTCCTCTTCTCATTTTGTTTCTTTGGACTACACCAGAAAAGGAAAGCTTCTGTCATTCGCCATTCACATGCGCTGTCGAGACGCTTGCTGCTGCTTTGTGTGTTCTGTGCTTACGTCCTTTGCTCCCTGGCGGAAGAGAAAGGCAGCGTGTGGAAGTGACAGTATGGTCGCTCGGAAAGGCACTGGGCAACAGAAAAATAAGAAAAAAAAAGCCGTTGGTTTCCTGATAACGTTCATTAATCTATATGTATGCCTTTTCATTCTCGTAATTCGTGTGGTGCGTTCCTAAGTTTTCTTCGCTGACTCCGCTTTTACGCTACACAAAAGCCGAGACGAGAAATTTAATTTTGTTCGGCGTCTTTTTCTTCTCAGTTTATTTTGAGTTCTTTTTCATCCACCGATAATTGCGCAGCGTTGAAGTGCCCGCATACGGGAACGATAAATCTCTCTGTTTGAAATATATATATTTCTAGCTCAACTGCGTTCTCACGTCATCGAAAGTTGTAGAGTACGAAGCACACTTTATATATATATATATATATCCTGTAGAAGGTTTGAAGCGAGCGAGGCAGACAAGAAGAAAGAGGTTGAGACCGACACGTCTGGAAGTGGTCGTGTGATGTTCTGCTTTTTATAATCCGTTTTCGTTTGTCATGCTTTGTGTTTTGCCTTCTTTTCTCTTTCCTGTTCTCTTTTCTCTTCTCTTTTCTTTTTAGTTATTATCAGAAAAAAAGGGAATCATGCGCTGAGCACGATCTTAAGTAGCGCATTAGGCTCGACTACGCTGTGCACCCCAAATTGTTTGAATGGAGGGGGGGGGGGGGGAGGTGCCTCTTGTTGGTGTTTCATGCAGTGCTCGAAATTTATATGGCACACTAATTCAACGTGGAGATCACTCCTGGTAGAGCTGTGGACGATGCTAGCAGCAAGGCGGCGACGGGTTACTCTTCCACACGCTGATTCTTTTTTATTCCTGTTTTCCCTGTTCCTGTCTTCCTGTGGGTACACCGCACGTGTGACTTTTATTTCCGTCTTCTATCTTTTTTTTTTTGTTTCTCGCTAGCGAATTCGAGTGTTCTCTTGTGTTGTACCATCTTTGTTGTGACGATGGTGTCAGCTTACGCTTTTAATCTATAAAACAACAACAACAACAAATGTTTCCTCTTGCTGATTTGAGTCTGATTGTGTCCTCGCCTTTCTTTTTTCTCCCCCCTGTGGTTGTTGTTGAAGTGTCTTTATTTTAGCCGCACAACGATGTACTTTACGGTAGAAGCGTTTTTCTTTTTTCAAATATTCGTGTTTTTTTTTCTTCTATTTCTTCTGTTCTTGGCGTTCACATCCACACACCTTCAACGTTGCGCACTATTCTGTTCTTTCTTTCTTTCTCTTTGAAACGTTATTCGTGCTGCGAGGTGACCGAAAACCAAACCCCCTCTCGTGTTTTCCCTCTTTGAGTGCTCTCCTCTGTTTACCCTCCCTCGACTCTCATTTTACAAGTCTCGCTTTTTCTTTTCTTTTCTTTCAGATGCTTTTCTTTGCTCTGTTTATGCGCACGCAGAGATGAGTGCAGGCTATTTTTTGTATTTTTTTCGCGGTCCACAACTTGCTCTCATGACTTGCAGAAAGTCTTTCTAACTCGCTTATTCCCTCCCTTCCCTTTCTCCCACCTCCAGTGCTTTTATGTTGTTGTCTCTTTCTCTCTTTCTTATTATTTCTATCCTACGCTGTCAAAGAATATCATCAAACATGATTGGCGGTTTTAAATCGTTGTTCTCCGTTTCTCTCCTGTTTGGCGCTCTTCTCGAAGCCGCTAACAAAGAAGAAGTAAAGAGTCATGCATTCCTTCAAAAGGTTGACACATCACTGCAAATATATAATTATCTTTACTGCATGCAACTTTTCTTTTCCCATTTAGCGCGCAGACGCCATCGCATCGAAGTCGAAACCTTGTTTTTTCCTCCTTTGTTTTCCTCTTGCTATTAACGATGTATCGGCTGGTTTCTCGCTGCAGGTGACGGATTGTAATTCAATGTATATCTTTTTCCTTCGCTATTCAAAAAAAATAAACGTAACCGTAAACATAAAACGCTTGTTGTTTGCCTTGCATGCTTTTCTTTTTGTATTCATCATAAAAGCGCTCCCTTTTCTCCTTCCTTCTTTTTCCCCCAAAAAGTGAAATCACCCTCTTGCTTTCGGTATCGACACCAATTAATAAGGAAGAAGGACCGAGAAGATGCATTTGCAAATCCACCTCTATGAAGGTCGTCCAAACAGCTTCACAGCTTTCTTTTCTGTTTCTACTTATCACGTAATGTACTCTTGCTTTCTTTCCTCCGCCATTACCACCGTCGCGCAAACTTATCAACGATGACGGTTCAGTCTAATCGCTTTCCCATTTTTTGTTTCCAATTGGTGCTTTCGTTGTTTTCCTCCGTTCGATGAGCCGTTATGATTTTCTTCTGCGTTTTCTTAGTGCGAGCTTGCGTTCTCAAAAAAAGAAAAAGAAAAAGTTTTTTTTGAATCTAGGCAGTTTTATATCTACTTTTATTCGCATAAGCTGCGCTTTTGCTCTTTTCACGAGTCTCCTTTCCACGTACCAAGGAGTACCGCTGCGAAGGCTCGTGTATTCTGATCTTTCCTTCTCTTCTATATAATGAAACGAAAACGCAAGCGCGAATGCGGAGTGCTCCGTCTCTTGCTGCACTGTTCTCTCGTGATGCCCTGCCCACCATACATTTTTTTTCCCTCCAAAAAACGTATATGCGCACAGGCAGCTATTTCAAACCGCTACCCAACGGTAACGGAGGCAATGGCAGAAGTGGCCACTCGCGCAAAAGCGAATCTTTGTTTTTGTGAAAGCTTTTTTCTGTTTCGAAACGGTGCTCTGTCGTGGAGTTTTCCGCAAAAAAATTATATAATGAAGTTTTGTTGTCTGCACTTTATATACGTTTGTTTTACTGCTTTCTTCTTCAGTTGTTACTTGACTGTTTTCAATTCAGCGTTTTGTATTCGATCGGCCACGGTATTTTTGTTCTCTTTCCTTACTTGTCAAAAAAATGTGATCGATGCAACCCGGCACTTCAAAATCAGCGGCTTCAGAACTTTTTCTGTTCTTCCACCTTTATTTGTCTCCGTAGTGTGCGCCACGATTGAGTGAGTGAGTGAGAGAGAAACCTTTGTGCTATTTTTGTAGAAGACGACGATAACAAGGTAACCCCGCGAAGAGCAGAATTAGAGTTGTAAAGAGCAATCCTGTTTTACCGTGTTGTCTAGCTACATGACCAGTGGCGACAACTACTGAAAGGGAGTCAAGCCGCTTTATTTCGCAAACTCCCCTCCGCTCCCGTTTCTTCTCTTTTATTATCATTATTATCACTACTATTATATGTTTTCCTGTTCTTTTCTCCGTTTTACTGACTGCACTGTGGAGCTCTTAAGCCTCCGTAAGTGCTCTGTCCGTCCTGTATGTGGCACACGTTTCGCCTCCGCGGCATCGCGTCGTTCTCTTCTCGCTCATCTCATTTCGCTTCACCTGGCGTATTTCTTTTTTTTATATACCTTTTGACCTTTTCTCCCACCTCTTGCTTTTCTCCGATTGAGTGCCTCATTTCAATTCCGTCCTTGTTTTCCATACGAGTCACCTTTCTCTTTTTCGTCGGGCCAGCCTTTACGGCGAGCTTCTACGCTGTGGTGCCGTGCGAGCCCCTCTTCGTTTCGTGGCGTTGTCGTGGGAGGCGTTTGATGTTGGAGCGGCAAAGCTTCCTCCTTGCCGCAAAAAATAAAATATAATCCGTCTTCATCTTCTCCTCTTCATGGCAAGAAAGCTACTGCACAACGGAAAAATCGTTATTCCAAAAAAGAAAAAGAACAGTAACAACCACCACAACGAAGCTGACGGTCACCGAAATAATTTACGGAGGCCCCGAGTGCGCTGTCACAGCCGTGCGGCAGCCGAGGGCACGTGAGGGCGTATTCGAACCGCTCCGCTCTTCGACGAAAAGCCGAGTCTGGGCGGGGTTGAATCACGAGAAGCAGAGAGGCTCATGCAAAGAGCCGTGCCTGTATGTGCGCATTCACGAAGCATTGTTCGTCCCGCTCCGGCGACACCTTTTCTCTTTTCTGGCGTGCCACGCGCGTGAATCGCTCTTGGGAGCAAATCCACCCCTCTCGCTGCGCTTCTTTCACTTTTTCATTTCCTCGGCCAACTCCACCGACGCGCTTCTCTCTCTCGCGGCTCACCATCCTCCTTTCCACGCATCTTCGATCTAATTCACCTGTATCTTTCGTGCGCTCTGAATCGCTGCGACGCACTCCCCCAACCAGCCGTTGCTTCAACCTCCGTCGTGAACTGAAAGGCAGAGAGAGGATTCGTTGGATTGCGGTTCAGCTGCTTAGCAAAAGAAAAGAAAATCATATTTCATGGCCACACTCGATACGCACCCACCACATATACACAAGCACAAGAGAAGCGTCAGGGCGCGCACACACCAGCAACGACTGCGTGGTCGACAAAGCGCCGCGTATTGGTTTATTCTCTGCCGCGAGCTGAGTAGCGGAGAGGCGTAGCGCCTGCGCAGGAAGAAGAGACCGAAAGTGTTGGAGCGATAGCAGCATCCGGAAGATTCAAAAGGAACGTGGCGCTGCATGCGGAGCTTGTGCCGCTTCGTTGTACTCAAGAAAAGGGAGACGCCCACGGTACGCGCAAGCAACACCGATAGGTGGGAAAGGGAAAGGAGGTGCTGGAGACACTTTTGAGGAGCCGGGGCCTCTTTCACATTTTTGAAACTATTGGCTTTCGATCCTACCTGTGGTATTTACATTTCTGCCTGTGTATATGAAGTAGAATAGTAACGGCATTCCTCCGCCACACACACCCATACACAACTCATACAGACCGACACATAGCCCACTTGGCGTGGGAAGGAGGGTTCGAGTCGGAGCAGCTCAAAAAGAAGAAGCTCGATACCCCTTTTTCTGTTCTCACGGTAATTGAACTCGCACGTTTTCCCGATTTCGTCGCGCTGTCGTCGCTAGGCTAGATGGTCTGTTGTGGGCCGGAGCGTAGCTGGAGCGACATCGTGGTGGTCACCGCCCTCCTCGTCACTACGGCCTACTCCGCCCACAGCTTTTACACCTATTTGTTTCCCGACACCTTGTCGGCGCTCGCGGCGGCGCTGTTGCATCCTTTTGCCTATCTGAGTCCCGATGAGCTTGCGAACGGTGGCGGCAAGCGCAGTCGTTGGTCGCGCCTCTCGCCCGTCAGCGTGTCGACGCTGTCGGAGGTGCACATGTGGGGGTGGGTGCTCTTCTCAACCTCCTGGCTTTTGCTGGCGATGGCGACCTGGGCTTACGTGGTGGCGCTTCTGACGCCGCCTGGACGGGTGCCTGCGGTGTTCCGCCAGCGGGCCACGAAGAGCGCGACGCTGGCGCTAAGCACCTTCTACGAGCCCCTGGCTTACTCGGACTCTCCCGCGGACCTCTACCCGCCTTCCACAACAGCGTTCAACGCCCAGCAGCACGGCCGGTTGCGCACCTTTGGCGCGAAGAAGGCAGCCGCAGAGGAGGATCAAGCGAGTGCGACTGCTGTTGCGGTTGCTGACACGCCGCCAGCCGCTGAGTCAACCGACGCCGTGGTGGCTGTTGCACCGTTGTCGTCGCCGCCGCGCCCCAACGAGCAGTTTTTCTTTAACCCGCAGGCGAACAGCTACACGAGCGTGCAGAACAGCTATCTTCATTTCTGTCCCATGTGCGCCACCTACAAACCACCCCGCGCCCATCACTGCAGTCGGTGCAACTTCTGTGTTCTCAAGTACGACCACCACTGCCCGTGGCTGGGCCAGTGCGTGGGCTTCTTCAACTACAAAAGCTATCTGTTGGTGTTGCTGTACACGTGGTTGCTGACGACGTGGGTGCTAACGCTGCTCTTTGTGGCGCTCTTTGTCTGCTGGTACGACTGGAGAAACACACGGCAGCTGCCAGACGGTGCGGCGACGTATGCCTCCTCCACCCAAACGCGCACAGGGCTCGGCGTGGGGGCGACGATCGCGGAGGAGCTCAACGTGGGCCTTCCCTCTTCCGGCGTCGTTGTGTGCATCGCACAGTGTATGCTGTTCTTTGCCATGACCACTTATTTGTTGGTGCGGCATTTCACGTATGCACGGCACAACATCACGACTATTGATATGGTGATCTTCGAAAACGAGCGTCGCCTTGCGCAGTACGGCTCCTCCGACGACTCGAACGAGGAGGGCGCGGGCGGCGCTGCTTCTTCTTCGCCCTACCACGCACGCTCGATGAAGGCGTTCATGAAGAAGAACATCTACGACCTCGGGGTAGGGCGTAATCTTTTGCAAGTCTTCGGCGATGCGAAGCGCAGCAGCCCCGGCGAGTACGCGACGGGCAATCCACTGCCGCGTCATCTCTATACCGAGTTGATGGAGGGCGATGCGCCGGCGCACCGCCGATTTGTCGTGCGGTGGTTCTTTCGCCTGCTGCCCTTCCGCGCCTACCCCTCGCAGCGAGAGTGGGCGCCCGTGAGCATGATGAAGCGGTCCGCGAGCAGCTCCATTCACATGGCCGCCAACCGTCAACCCAACTACGGCACCACGCGGGGGAAGGGAGAGGGGGCAGGCAACGGACCGGGGAAGACGGGAGACAGCTTGTTGCTGGCAGAGCTGGGGGTGGAGGAGGAGCAACTGTTGGGACTGCGCTTCCCTACCAAGATGTCCATGGGCATTGAAACTATGCCGGTTTAAGGGTTAGCCGTGGACGCCTGCTGGCGCTGCCGATGGCGGCGACGTGAGCACGTGGTCGTCGATGGCGGAAGAGGGTGGAGCAGCGGGCGGGTGAAGGGTTCGTGGGAAAGGAGAAAGAGAAGGGCACCGTCTTCGCCGACAACACCGAAACGGACGCACCCGAACGCTGAAGTTTCGCTCTCTTCCGTTCTGCCTTTCTTTCGTTCTCTCCCCCCTCCGTCGTTCTCCGCTGCTCCAACGGCGCCCAAGAGAGAGAGAGAGAGAGAGAGAAGAAAGAGTTTTATGCTGTACTAACTGTGTTGCTCTTTGGTCTCATCATCAGCTCTTTTCGTCTTCTTTCTTTCGCTGAACTTTACTTCTCAAGCACGCAAAAAACACGCTCGTCATCGTTTTGCTTCTCCCCGTGACGATGCTTTCGTTTTTGTTCTTGTTGCTGTTTCTGCCACTTCGTTCCTCTCTCGCTGCTCTTTTCTTAAATACATATTTCTCCGCTGGTGTGATACATGCAAGGAGGAAGCGTAGCATAGAATGCGTCACGAGTTGGAGGAGGCGGTAGTGGGCGTTTGTTTATATCAATTAAGGATGATACATATATATGCATTTGTGTGTTTATCTGTGTTGCACCCACGTAGCTGCGCTACACTTTTCAAAGTGAAAACGGAAGAAAAACGCGACATGCGCGAGCGGAAGCCGCCAGCAGCGGCGGCTCGCTTTCGGCACGTGTGCCCGTGTCGCTCTTCTTCTCCCTGCTGTGTCTCCTATGTTGCGGAGATGCCAAGCGGTGCTTTTCTGCGGATGCCTGCGTGGGCTGACAAGTGCGTCGCTCCTTTTTGTTTTCTCTGTTGTTGCTTTGTCGGCGCTGCAGATGAAGAGCCAGGGGACGACGTGGAGGCGCAACGTCATGCGCCGCGGCTCCTCGTGTCGGGGTGCGCTTACAGCAGCGATTTGCGATGCCTTTTTATTATTATTCCCTCTTGTCATCAACGAAATTTTCTGTTTTCTCGTGTTACCGGCTTTGCTTCTTTCTCCGCCTTTGTCTTTTCCCCAACCCGCGTGACTACGCGGGTAGGTCGAGGCGTAACTTCGACTGATTGAAACCGCTTAGGTGCGTGTTGAAAGATATATTACACATATTTTGTTTTGTTTCCTCTTTCTCAAGGGAATGCTTTGCTGGTCGGTGCGACGCCTTGCCGCGGGCCCCTTTGCACTCAGTCGGCCGCTACTCAGCGATGAGGATCGATACACGCAGTTCTCCGACATTCTCGCGAAGGCGCGCACGTCGTCCCCGCCGCAGAGCTCCACGCCGGAGTTCTTCAACGGTCGCTTCCAACCGGGAAGCGGCTTCATGGAGCCGCACGGCATCGCAGCGATGCAAAGCACCCTACGTGCGAACATGACGCCGGAGATGCGGGACAGCATGGCATCGATGCTGCAGTCGGCCCTGCAGAGCGGCGACGGCATGCCGGGGGGATCGATGGGCATGATGGCCTTCGGCGTCGGCGAGAACGAGAAAGGTAAGAAGGTGGCACGAGCCGCAAAGCTGTCGTACGACTTGAAGACAGGAAAAGTGAACAAAGATTTTATGGAGGAGCAGCTGGAGCCGGATGACGTGAGTCTGCCGAAGGAGACGGTGGAGAGCTACGACACGGAGGGGGCAACGGAGGTTGAGTTTGTTGAGAGTGAGAAGAAGGAGGAGAGCGCGAGGCCCGCCGCAGCACCCATTGCGGAAGCCGAGATTGAAGTGGAGATTGTCGATAAAAAACGCCCTTGAGGAGGAATGAGGCGTTGCTGCTTCTCCTTTTCATTTTGGTTTGCTTTATACTGCTGCGCCCGTTGCAGGAACAAACGGAGACGTATGTACCGCTGCCTACGCCGTTGGGTATTTCTGTTGCTTCACGGCATCGTCTTTGTCTTCGTTTCTCTTTTTCTTCTTCACACTGTTGGCTTGCAATGGCGCGGTTTTTGGTCCTGTTTTCAGACTCCCATATCTTACCATCACGTGTACACGAGAGAAGAAAACTGACGCTTGTGTCGCACGTGTGCTGGAACTTGTCGACGCGTACAACGCTGTTAAAAAAAGAAAACATATTGAAAGTGGAGGGAGGTGTGTGTGTGGGCGATAGAGCGTTTTTGTTTTTCTCAGCAGCCGTTAAATCGGTGCTGTGTGAATGTACCGCGTATTCGGCTATGCCTTCAGCGTCGTGATTGCTGCTTGTACTCTTCCTTTGTTTTTGACTCCTCATTCACTTATTCGCTTTTTGTCTCTCCGTCCTCTCCCTCTCTTCATCTCCGTTTTGGTGCTTTCGCGCGTTTGCAGAATCTACTCTAATTCCTTCCTCTTCCTTCTATGTTCTTTTGCTATACAGCTGATACGCTCCCACTCACACGTATTCCATTTACAGATTTGTGCGCTTTGGCATAACGGTTTTCGTGTACTGTTTTTGCTACGACGCGGAGCTGACGTTCATCGGACCGACGCGCCGTACATGTCTTAAGCAGTCCTGCACCCCTTGTTGTTTCATTAACTCTGGAAACCTCTCTTTTTCGTTTTTTTCCTCTTGGCATCAGCGTTTCATTTGCGCTCTCTGCACTTTATTTTGTGGTAAGACTTGGAGTAGAACACATTTTAGTTCTCTATTTTTGGTTTTCAATCAACCGTTCTTCTTTATCTTTCTTTAAACTGCATGTACCTAGCTTTCCCTTTTATTTTTTTCTGAGTCTCACTGCGTCATTCCCCTCGACTCTTCTCGTATATTTTCACCTCTCGAGACTTCAACGTCGTTGAGCGCAAGCTGCATTTTACCTTGCGACGGAGGCAAGACAACATTGCACACACCCACACTCGCGTGCACACACACAGCGACAAGGTATAGAACGAAGCGCTTGAGGCTTCTCTCTCTGCTTTCACGGGGAAACTTTTTGCGTCGCATTGTTCCCCCTTTCTACTTACATCGCGTAGCAAACTCTGCTGTGAGCATCACCTTCCTGTAGTCCGCGTGATGTCCAAGGTACTTTTGAGCGTCGTTCGCATGCTGTGCTGGTTTTGGGGTCTCTTCCCACTCTGCTACTACGTCGCCCTCACCGTCGTCTGCGGCCTCCATCAACGGTGGATCTCCTTCGGCTTCGCGCTCGCCACCGCCGCTCTCCTTGCCGTGTGGCTCATCTTAAACGGTGCGGCGATCATCTCTGCCTGGACGCTGAACCACCGCCGCCACACCGCAGCGCACCCGCGAACCACAACCCAACTCCCCCATGACGACGTCGCGGGCACCCGTCGCCCGCACGGAGCGGCGCTGCACACGCCGAGTCCACCAGCAGTGCGGCAGTGCACCGCCACCACCAAAGCCGCTGCCAGACCCACCAATGATGAAGTCGACCGCTTGACCGGCTTCAATGAATCGCGGGCATTCGATGACGTCGCCAGCGAGGTGGACCTGACCAGCATCCAGGAGTCGACGGCCACCGTCGCGCACACCAACGTCGACAGCGTCTCGTACGAGTCCACCACGGCAGCTACCGGCGAGAACCCACTCGTCACCAAGACGGAGGGCATGCTGGGCAATCGTCGCGTAGTCGTGCGGGCGCATGGGCCGACGATGGCCGGGGATCGCGCGTGTAGCGAAGTGGAGGACACCATTCTCCTGTCCCCGCCTGCGTCGGGGCGCTCGCCGGCAGGGGCGTTGCCGAGGGCCACCGCGCCATCACCGCCGCACGGGTCAGCGCCACGTGCGGCACAGGTGGTCGTGCAGAAGCGCGTGGGATCGGACAGTCTCTCCGCCGCGTCGGACCCGCATAAAACCGGTGTGGCTGAGATGGGAAACGACTCGCCAGGGGGGCCGGCTAGGGCACCGCGGGTAGCCGGATACACCGGCCCCACCTCGCGCGCGTCTGCGTCGAGCTCTAAGGTTGCTTGCGTCGCCTTTATGATGCCCGTCGTGTCGATTTACGTCACGATTGCCCTCACACTGCTTATCCTGGTCGCGTCGATTTTCTTCGAGTACGATACGCACTGCCTCATGCTCGCCTTCCCCGCCCTCTCCGTGCCGTGTCTGTGGTCCACCCTCCTTCCCCTTGTGAGGTTGTACGATGCCTGCCCGAAAGCAGCGCAGAACTGCCACATGCGTGTGCTGCGCTTCATGACGTGCTGGAGCAGCCTCGCTGTCGTGTGGCTTGTCGGCCTCGCCGTGTACGTTGCCGCCGTGGCACTCGAGGTGGTGACATGGATTCCATACATGCCCGAGAACAAACCCACGCCTCGCGCAATCCGCGTGGTCAGCTACCTCTCCCCGATTCCGACGTTTATTATTGTCACTCTCTTTGCGATGTGCGCAGCACTGCAAGCTCGCAAGAGTGCGCATCGCTCCAGCCACCAACAGGGAACATGCGACTATCGTTGGGGTGCCACTGTGCTCACCGATAGGGCAGCGGTGGCTCCGCGGGTCCCATCGGAAAGCAACGGGGGTGGGGGACCGCAACGAGGGGCTTATGGTGGCTTCACCGGGACGCCCAACAGCCCACAGATGCAGTCGCCCACGGATCCGCGCGGGACCGAGCAGGGGATGATGCGGTTGGCCGCGCACAGCCCCACCATCACGCGGGATGGCTCCGAAGACACGGCGTCGACGCTGTCTTCGATTGTGCGCTCATCGATGAGCAGCATCTTCATCCCACCCAGCGGCTTAACCTCGCCGTCGGCGCTGTCCCACAGCAAAAACCACATCCGCGTGTCATGCACCGGCAGCACCAACAGCGGCGGCGCGCACAACGTGCCACAAGCGGCCCATATCAACTCGCTGCCGCAGCTCAAGACGGTCACGTCGCTCTACCTTGCCTACCGCAACATCTACGACGACACCAACATCATCCACGAGTTGTTCAATCGCAGCTCGATGCAAGGCGGCATGGCGGTAAGCCGCAACATTCAACAGACGATCGCCACCAACTACGAGGCAATGATGGAAGCCATCGAGGACGCACGGGAGCAGGGCAGTGGAGACGCCAACGCGTACATTCTCACCGCCTACGAGGACATTTTGTGTCTCGTGTGGGGCCTCATGCCTTTTAGCAGCGAGCCGGTGCTTGTCGCTGTGGAGAAGGCCCGTCGTATTATGGAGGCCTTCCAGAGCCGCCCCAAGCCACCGCCGGCGTCCCCCGATGAGCAGCAGGAGTTGGTGGCCGCCGTGGTGTCGGCGCCGCACTCACTGGTGGGTTTCCTCGGTCGTGGCAACAACCGCGCCATCCACTTCTTTGATTCCCGCCACCACCAGGGCCCGGCGCAGCTGCTGCAGCGCGGCTTGGCCATGTTCCGCCGCCTGCCCTCCATGCAAGGCTCCACAGGCGGGTCGGAGCACCCCTTCCGCGGCATCCTCATGAATGCCCGGGCGCGGAACAACACGGCGAGCCACATTCTGGCACGTCCCTGCGGCATCAAGTCGCTGCCTCCGTCCTCCACGACCGGCGCCGTCGCGGTGACGGGGGGCACGCGGCGGCCGCCTATGGGTATACAGCCCAGTGCACCGGTGGAGAGGTACCCCATCATGTACGAGTTCCTCGACCTCGTCCCCGCCCAGGAAGAGGAGTGGCACCTCGTTGTGCAGAGGCAGGAGCGCCTTGGCGCGAAATTCGGTTTTCTCACCGACGCGACGCAGCTTCTCCAGCAGGGCGACACGAAGGGTGCTCGGGAGGTGCTGCGCCGCGCGGTGGAAGACACCGACGCCAGTCACGACCCCAACAACGTCGCTTTAGCGCAGATCATGTTAGAGGACCTCGACCGGATCACCAGCCAACCCTCGTGAGCGGTGTTCTAAAGCGCATCGACGTTGCATGTATGCTATTCTATTAAACTCGCTTCTTGTTTCTTGTGGCTGCGTTGCTTCCACTCGCCGGTTCCAGCGGCAGGCGCTGCGACAGCCCCTGACAAAACACTCTTTTTCTATTTAGGTCTTCTCCTTATTGTTTACCTTTTTTCTTTTCTACCTCGCTCTTTTCGTTTATAAACCTTTTTTATATTGATTTGGTACCTTTGTTGTTGACGCGTCGATTTCGGTTGATTGTTCTCCGGCAACTCTTTTTTTTCTTCGAGTGTTTTCTCTTCCCCTGTTTTTGTTTTAGAATTAAGATAACGCCCTTTTCCTGTCTACCATTTTTCTTCTGTGCGCTAAAACTTCTCTCTTCTCTTCCACCGTTCTTCGATTCGAACTCTGCATCTGCCTATGAAAAAAAAGAAGGGAAACATGAAAGCGGTGAATCTGTGGACGCTCGTTTCTCGTGAATGTCCTCGTCGCAATGAGGTCTGTCAACGTGAGAAGCGGCGCTGCACATCGGTGGTTTTCTGTTTGGCGCAAATGGTTTGGCGGAATGGTGGTGGTAGAGATTCGGAAACGATTTATTTGCATTCCCTTTCTACAGTAGACCTTTGACTCTTGTGGATGACAAGCCACTCTTTTTTTCTTTCACCGGTGTGAAACGCTGGGTATCAGGTGATGAAGGAACGCTTGTCGAACAACTGGCTGTAATTAAGAACAATGTGCCCTGAACACGAAAAGCCGGTAGCTGTTCGTCTACTGCTTCGGCCTGTAGCGTATCTCTATCTTAATGTACCGCTAGATTCTGGTACGCTTTTGTTTTCTCTAAAAATTTTCCTTTATTCTCCTCGTTCTTCGTCTTCGCAGCAGGGCGCTCTCGTTGCGAGTCAGCTTTATAAAAACACAGTACGTCTCTACCACGTTGTTGGCTACTGTTGACGCCAAGAACTCTTCTTCTTTCGGAATCACAAAAGATATGTAACATAGTAAAATGTGGAAAACACTTGAAGAAGCTTAAATGAAACTAACTGAAGAACAGTAGAAAAATTAAATTGTCATTCATCGAAGTACATACGCCGGAGGAAGGTTTTAGGAAAAAGAAAGCGGCGTCGCAAGACCACGTTTCTACGTGCCACAGAACTGTGCTGCCCACTCTTGGTGTTGCCGGTGGCGGTGCAGAAATCGGATACATCTTTCTTTTTAGCGTCTGGTGTATTCGACCTCAGTGAATCCGCAGGGCGTGACTGAGAGCTTGCGATTGCATCTCCCCGGAGTTTTGCGTCACTGCTGGGAAAAGTGTTGGATTGAAATGTGTGTATGGAGGAAAAGCATGATGAAGGGTCTTTAGCTCTTTGTTGTTCCTTCCTTTAGCGCTGATCCCCCCTTTTCTTTTCTCGTCGTACCGTGTCTTCTTTACCGTCTTCATCACATTTTCTTTTCCCGTACCAAACGTGAAATGCCGCGTTCTTTCATTCATAGTCTATCGCAGCCACAATTATTACTATAGGCTCTCTCAAGGAACGTACTAAAGAGGAAGGGAAAAACACATCCACGCTGCTTCCTCTTCCTCTTCAATTCTCTGCCACGTCGAATCGTTCTTTCAGTTGAGTAGCGTTTTGTTTTTTGTTTTTAGAGGGATCCTCATTTGACCTCATCTACCTGACCTTCTTGCTGGATTTCTGCCGCAGGTCTTTTCCTTTGCTCTGAACGCATCTCTCTCTCTCTCTCTCGCTGGGTGTGTGCTTTTGGGTCCCAGCCTGCGTTTCCTGCTGACTTCACACTGCGTTTGCTGCCAACTCTCTCCATAATCTGCTTCTTTTTATTGTTCCGTTTCTTTGTACTTCGCCAGACCCTACGGCGCTATTCTATGTAAACCTGCATAAAAATTTTCTCTCTTTGCTGTTACCCGCCGTTGTGGACGTGCGCCACTCTCTAATGCTTAACGTAGCTATCCACAGCGCCGCCTAACTTCGTGTGCCTCTTTTCGTTTTGCGGTGGTTGACGAGTGCAGTTCATCTCGCCGTGTTGACACACACTCAACCACCACAACGCAGAGGGCATCTCCCCAACTGTGTATATACATACCTACGTACATATTTATCCAACCAGCGCGTGCTTTCGTTTGAGAAGAAACGAAATCGAGCGTTCCACAACGCAGCGGAAACGCGCAGAGCCGCACCGGATCTTTCCCCGTCTCCAGTCAAGAAATGCGACCCCCCGTCGTTGCCCAGAAACGGGGGTCATCGCTGGTGCAGCGACCTCCGCTTGGCACCAGTGCTGCGGCCACGTCCCCCACGACGGCCAAAGCCAAAAAGAACAACAGCGGCGTCAAAGCACGGGCAGCACCCGTCACCGCGGCAGCGAGGCGCATCGCAGCGAAGGGAACGTCTCTGCGGACGCGCATGCCCTATCTACGGCCCAACGCGTCCCCCGTGCCCACCACGCCAACGGAGGCGAAGGCGCACCTGCCCCCGCGCCCGCCCCCGCGCTCCTTTTCTTCAAGCGCCAGCACACATGGGTTTGCGCCGTGGCTCAAGGACTCCTTCACCGCTATCCCTGAGGCGTTGCAGCAGATCAAGAAGGTGTGCAACGCCTCGAGGGACTCGACGGACAGGGATTCGAGTGTTGTGGCGGGCAACACCAATGCTCGAGAGCGTCGTCTCAGCCGGTCCCCCAGCGTGGCGGGCGGTAAAGGCAGCAACGCGAAGGAGGATGCCACGATGGTGGTTCAGAACATCGAGGAAATTCAGGGGATGCTCTTCTCCTCCTTACAGGCGGCCACCGCAGTAGAGGCCCTCGCGCCGCTGGCCCCGCCGCACGACGCCGCCGCCGGCTCGCATTTCCAGCGCAGCAAGTCGTGCAACGCACAGCTGGAGTCCCCCCTCATTTCCACCGCCTCCGGGTTCTTCCTGTCGCGTAAGGACCGCCGCAAGGCGTGGACGCTGCTGCTGCACAAGAACACGCACGCGTTCCCGATTCTCGTGAACGCAGCCCGCTCTCCGCTGGCGACGCGGGAGGCGCAGGTGGTGGCGACGATCTTGACGTTCGTGTACAACGTGCTTCGCCATATGGCGGGGGAGCGGCAACGCAGGGCAGTGCTGCTGTGCGAGAAGCTCGGCCTGCTGCGCGTCTGCACCGCCGTGTTACAGGAGTGCCGGCGACGGCTGCAGTGTGAAACGACGACGACGGCTGCCCGCGCGTCGTGCCTGCGTGCGTGCGAGGCGGCGGGTCTTCTCTTCACGTTGGGCCACACCTTCAACGTGAAGCTCTCCGCCGCCTTTCGACTGTCGCAGAGCCTCGACTGTACCCTCGCCTGCGCCTTCTCCATCTTCGCGGTCGTGGAGGCGGAGTTCGCGGCGTTTCAGCAGACCGTGTCGCTGCTTGGGCCGGGCAAGAGCCTGCGGGAGATGACGAAAGCGTACGCCAAGGCACACACCCGTAAAGATACCCTCAAGGCCTTACGTGCTTTTCAGGCCCGCTCGCAGTGGTCCGTCGCCGCTTTCTCTCACTTCTGCTTCACGTTGTTCGTCTTTACCGGCAACGCGGCGTCCGCGAAGGAGTTGGGCAGCCGGGGTGCCGATGTGTGCGCAACGGCCATCGCCATGACGACCTACTTTCTCTCGCAGGTGGCCCCCGTGCTGCTGACGAATGTGGTGTACGAACGACAGGAGGAGACGCTGCACCCTACCGTGGGTCCGCTCGTGGCGATCGACCACACCCATTGGGCCCCGGCGTGGGTGGTGAAGATGCTGCGCCATGTGGAGCTGATGCTGCTCTGGTGCGTCGCGCTGCTTCACCGCCTCGGCAGCTGCGACAAGGTGCAATGTGAGGTCTCCGCACTGGCGCTGCGCTTGCACGTGCCGCGCGGGTGCTTGATCTTTCTCGCACCCCCGTCCGAAGTGGCTACGCAGCTGGCGCCACGCCGGGAGTGCGTTCACGTTGTGCTGATGCTCCTCAGCACCCTTTTTGAAGCAGATCGTGCGGGTGCATTGGTGGATATAAGCGACTTTGGCGGACTGAAGTCGCTCGTGACGAGCGTCCTCGCGCTGAGCGAGACGGCGGCGCAGCAGTGGCATCACTACTACATCCAAATGGCGACCATTTACGGCTGCCTACAACTGCCGGCCCTCGCGGGGCGCTCCTCGTGCTACGTTGATCAACGCATTCCCGTGGCGCTGCGGCGTTTCCATTCCACCTCGCAAGAGACGACAAGAGCAACGGTGGCCTCTGCGGCGAGGGACTTCAAGAGTGGAAACGACAGCACGAGCACCTCGCAGACGGGGAATCTGACGGCTGCCTTGTCCGCTGTTGCACCGCTGTCCTCTCCCTGCGCCGCGGCACTGTCCGTTGATGAAGCCCACGCGCGGCATGACGGCGGCAGCAACGCGTCCTCGCACACGAACACGACGGGAACGCAGTGCCTCAGTGCCGCAGAGCAGTTCACCAGCGTGCCGGATGCCGTGCTGAGTCCGCTGCTGTCCCACTTTGGTGCCGCGCAGGGCGGCGACATGGAAGACGGGCTGCTGCTGGTGGATACGAAGCCGAGTCTTTTCTCGCCAGAGCTTCACCACGGCACCGTCGATGCCGCCTCCGCGCTGAGTGAGTTCAGCGAGGGACAGTTGCCGTGGCCTTTCACAGATGCAGCCCCACCCACCACGGCGGAACACTGGCAGGGCAAGCCCATTCACGTAAAAAGCGTCAGCGAGGACGAGCACCTTCAAGTTCCACTGAAGGAGGTCCCGCAGGAGGATCGAGTGCGAGTGCTGCGTCACCACATCGCCCGACTTGCCCAACTGGACGAGACGGCGTGCGACGCCACCTGCAACCCGCACGTCTACAAGGTGGTGTATGAGCGCAGAAGCAGCGCAGGCCCTGCTGTGACCGACGCCGCCGTGCAGCCGAGCCACGACGGCATTGGCTTCTTTTCCGACTACGAAGGCGGCAATTTGCAGCGCGTGGTGGAGGTGGCGGACAACGAGTTTGACCTGGTCCTCGCGTGGGATACCGCGACGAACTCCTACACGCAGTGGTTCAACTTCGGCGTACGCGGCTTCGCCCCGGGCAAAACCTACCACTTCAACATCCTCAACATGGAAAAGCAAGGATCTACCTTCAACGACGGGCAGAAGCCGCTGCTGCTGCACGTGCCGGAGAGCAGCAGAGGCAGTCCGAACAAGGGCACCAAGAAGCCGTGTGCGCCGCCACACTGGCAGCGTGCGGGGCACAACATCTTCTACTTCCGCAACACCTACGAGCGACCGGTGCGCACGCACTTCTTCACGAAGGACGCGGAGAGCGGCGGCGGCAGTGCCGCGTCTGCCCACGCGTCGCCGGTTGCAAATGCACCGCAGCGGTTTTTCCCCACTCGAGCCAACGCCGGCGGCACGGCTGCGCGGACGCTGCCTTCGCGCACACCGCCGCCGCCACCACCGGTCGTGGCGAAGCGACGAACGCCCACGCCGGCCCTCGCGTCCCCCGCTGGACGCAGTGCCACCAGCGGCAACAGCAACGAAGACGACAGCGACGGGGGAGGTAAAAAGCAGAAGAACTACTTCACGGTGACGTTTTCGGTGACGATGCCGGCGGAGGCGTCAGGGCGGGTGTACCTGGCGAACTGCTTCCCTTTTTCGTATACGGAGTTGCGGCAGCACGTGTCGTGGTTGGCGGCGCAGATGCAGTCCAGCTTCACGCCCGCCCTGCGTGCGCAGACGCTTTGTGTGACGCCGGGAGGGTTGGAGGTGCCGCTGCTGACGGTGACGGCGCTGCACCGCCGCGGCTCGGAGGAGCCCTACACGATGGACGAAATACGACGTCGCCCCATTGCCCTTTTGGTCGCCCGCGTGCACCCTGGTGAGACGAACGCCAGCTGGGTGATGCAGGGCCTGCTGGACGCTCTGCTGCGACCGTCGGCCGCCGCTGCGGCGTGGTCGGCGCTATTGTGCGAAACTTTCGTGTTTAAAGTTGTGCCGATGCTGAACGTGGATGGTGTGATGATGGGCAACCACCGCTGCTCCTTTGCGGGCATGGACATGAACCGCGACTACCTCGCGCCCAAGGCGGAGCTGAATCCCACCTTGTACGCGTTGAAGCAGTTGCTGCGGTACTGGAGACAGGAGGAAGGCAGACAGACGGTCATGTTTGCCGACTTCCACGGGCACTCCCGTGCGAAGAACTTTCTCGTGTACGGGTGCACGTCCGAGACGATGAAGGGTGTCGCCCATCACCTGGGCGGGAGAGACGAGAGGGCAAAAGGTCGCGGTAGCGATTCCACCGGTGACGGTGGTGGCCGCCGGCGACGCGTGCGGGTGCGCCAGACGTCAACCGACGCCCCATTGGGACCGGAGAAACTCCTCGCCGTGCTGCTCAACTCTCTCTTTCCTTCCTTCTCCCTCTCGCAGAGCTCGTATGCGGTGACCAAGGACAAGATCAGCTCCGCGCGCATCGTGCTGTACGACGAGTTCGGTGTCCGCATGAGCTACGGCTTTGAGGGGACCATGGTTGGTGGCCGTGTCAGCCTGCCGGACCTGCTAGTGCCCCTCACCGATGCAGCGAGCACAGCAGGCACGCTGTGGAAAGAGGAGGTGCACTACAGCCCAACCGTTTTCCGCGCCATGGGCGACGCCTTTGTTCGCGCTGTCGCAATTCTGGCGGAGCAATGGATCGCCGTAACGACGGCAGCCGCTGCCGCACCCACAAGCGACGGCGGCAGCGGCAACGTGAGCAACGTGAGCAGCGAGAAGCTTCGCAAGAGCGGCATAGGGGCGCGGTGTGGCTGCAGTGCGGAGGTGATGCAGGCGCTGTGGGGCGCCACCGCCGCAGCGGGGAGCGGGCGCGATGCCCCGAGGAGTCGGCGCGAAGAGCTGGCCAAGGACATCGCGTCATCGGAGCCGCGGGCAGGACCGTACGCGATTGCCACCCGCAGTGATCGACGGCAAGGCAACGCCTCGTCCTCTCACGCCAGCGCAACCGCCAGCAACACCACCGTGCACGACGCTGCGACGCACCCACCTGCCGTGTCCGCGGCTGGGCAGCTGGACGCGCTCAACTATCTCTTTCTCGCGCACCAGCGTGAGACGGCCGTGCAGGAGGGCGACGACGGCGACAACGCCGAAGACGACGCCGACCAGCGCACCGTCGACGGCAGCGAGGTGTGGAGTGTGGCGGAGGGGAGCGATACGGAGGTGGTGGGCAAGGCCGGGAAGCAGGACCGAGAGAAGAGGGCTAATCGCGGTGACAACTCGGACACGGGTGACCGCAGTCCCTCCTCCTCCTCCTCCGACTCTGGCAGCGACGATCACGACTGGTCGGGGTTTAACTCGTCTGCGAGCAGCGCCGAGGAGGACATTGACGTGGAGCGCAGCAGCGCCAGCAGTGTGGACGACGAAATCCCCACAAACCTGTTCTTATAGAGTCGCTCCGCCTTGAGGGAGCACGTGTCCCCCTCCCTCTCTCTTCAAAGAAAAAGGAGAACAACAGATTAGAGAACAAAGGGAAATCGTGCAAGCAGTGAACGGTGCTTTTGTGCGTGAGAAGTGCGAAATGGAAGCAAAGCGGACAGTGTGCACGTCGGTGCTTTCCTCTGCGTGATGGTAGCTGTTTTTATTATTATTTCCGTTTGATTACCTTCCGCGGAATCGCCTCGTTCACTCCAAAGATGAGCGGGGTGACGGGATGGGGTGCAGACGAAGCTGTAAGGGAGGGCGACCCGTCTGCCTCTCCTTCGCCGTTGCGGCGTGCCTTCGTCTGTGATGTCCTTCGCCGTGTCTCCAGTGTCCTTGTGTCCCTCTTCACCTCTGCATGACCTGCTTTTCTTCTTTCCCTTCATTTCTTTACGGGCCGTTTGACTGCAGGACTCGCTTCCAAGAAAGAGAACCCGCGGCGCGTGCGCGATGCAGGGGCCGTCTTTGGAGGGGCTGAAGGCCTCTACAGATGCTGCCGACACCACCGAGTACACGTCCCGGCAAAAACTGGCGGTGGTATTGGGCGTGGCTGCCATAGGCACGTACATCGGCTACACACTGGTGCAGTCCTACAAGGGGGAGACACCGCAGGCCATCTGGACCAATACCACCAAAACAAACGCATCGGCTTCGTCAACGGCTACACCACAAATCGCCATTGTCAACCTACCTGAGGAGGTGCGTCCGATCGCCCGAGAAGGCCTGCAGGGATGGCTGGACGTGCACAACGAGGTGCAACTAACTTTCCCCACAGTCATGCTCGTTGAGGAAGAAGAAACCTCAACGCTGGCGGACATCGGCGGCGGCGTTCGCCGAGCCACGCTGTATGCGCACAAGGAGCTGCACGAGGCACGGCAGAAGCAGAAGTCATCGTCGTCATCGTCGACGCAGACGCCGCCGCCGCTTTGCACGGTGGTGTACCGCACGATTATCGAGGTGGAGGGTCAGACGCTGGAGGATTGGGATGTGGACGCGTCTGGGCTGCGGAAATGGCACCAGAAGGCCTTCACCCAGCGCCACTGCCTGGGCTTTACGGTGGACGGTCGCAACGTGACACTGCTCACGCAAGACGTGGAGGGCATCTTCCGCACCGGTGAGTTCGTCTCGGCCGCAAAGCACAGCGGCGCGACGTTGCTGCGAGAGTGCAGGGCGCCGTCGACCGCCACCTTCCGTCGCTGGTGGCCCTCCGCGGCGACCCGCACGACCGCCTCTGCCTCCATGCTGTCCTTCGACTCCTCGAAAAGGAAAGACGACAGGGCAGACGCGCTGAAGGCGTTTGAGCGAAGCGGACGTCTCGCCGCGCTCTGGCGCGACCCATTTTCTCTCTTCTCGCTGCTGGGGACGGTGCTGCGGTACAACCGACCCGAGGCTGCGGTGTTCCCCGCTCTGCTCTCGCCGAACGCGGTGCGCCCCAACTCGCCAAATACGCCAAACCGTTTATGGCGCGTGGTGGGGGAGTGGCCCCGTCGCCTTCGAGTCCCTCTGCTGCGTCGGGCCGACGAAGACGAGAAGAGACGTCGTGAGCGTCGCCGCGTGCTGTCCGCGCCCTTTCTCATCGCGGCGAACGCGGTGGAGAGCAGCCCCGCGCCGCCGACGGCGATTGTGCAGGAGGTGCAGACCTGCACGGCGCAGTGGGTCCGGCACTTTGCCACGCTCGTACCAGAGCACGAAGCCGCTCTTGTGGAGGTGCAGCGCGAAGACAGCAAGCGGTGGGGATTGCGTGTGGACCTGACGCGTGTGCAGTGCACTGTGGTCGAGGCGGCGTGGCTCCTGACACACGTCGTGGGCCTCCTAGCGGCAGTGGGTGTTTCACTCGCGGATGCGAAGCTCGTGGTAATCCCGGCAACGCAGTCAAACACCTCTCTGCTCTACCCAACGGCGGATTCTGAACACGTGTCGCATTACTGGAAGCCGTGCAAGCCATCGCCGTCGGCGAGCTCCACGGTGGGGGTGGGGAGCAGACTCTCCACTTCCCCCTCCGCGTTGCAACACACCGGTTGGATCTCCGTTGAACTTCGTGCGGAGAAGAGAAGGGGATTCGTGGTCGCCGAGCACGACTTCGCATCTCTCTGATGGGCGCCGCCACCGCACACAGACAGTTTTCTACAGCTGTTTGTTTCTTCTGTACTGTTCATCTCACCTGCCCAAGAAAAAGAAGAACTCACATAACGTGCAAATGCGTGAGACCGCAACAACGATGGCAACAACACTGTGCATGACTATGAGTTGGTGCTTTCACTGAGGGTGCCCCCCTCCCCTTTTGTGCTGGTGCGCTTTACGCAGCTCGTATGAAACCCTAAGAAGAATAACAGCGTTTTTCAGTAAAGAAATATATTTAAAAAAACCCGTGGAAACTGGCGGAATTATGCGGTAAAGTGCGATTGGCGATGGCCGCATAAACGTTTTGTTTTGTTCTCTTGTAGTGACAAGTGCTCTTTGCAATAGTCACCTACTCCTGGCCATGCTGATGAGGACTGCGCTTGTTGGTGAGAGGACTGACTGCATCACCAAGAGGTTGCCTCTCTCGTTTCTGAGCTGCGCTGCTCCCTTTTCTTCGACTATTCCGCTGTTCTCGCTCTTCCCTGCTACTGCCGTTTTGTCGCACTCGCCGTGCACTTCTTTCCTCATTCTCACAGTTCGCCCGCTGGCTTTACGGTGCTTTCAGAGACGTCTCAGCGCTCTACAGAAGTTTGGAAAGAAAGTATGCGACTCTGAAAAAGAGGGGCCCCACGCTAGGAATTGGTGTTTTCGAAAAACAGAAAATGGTGCTTCCGGGCGACCGAGAGCCGTGGAAGAGGGATGATGTGCTCGTGAGTGCGTTGTCCGTTGAGTGGATTGCAAAGAACGTGTTTCTTGTGGCCGTCCCTTCCTATCGACGTAAGGTGAGCTGCGAGCTGACGGCGGTGGACGGTCCTCGCGGCACGGCTCCTGCGTTGACGGAGAGAGTCTGCGATGTCCTCCAGCGCGTGAACAGCGCGATGCGACTGTACCTGCGGCAGGACTTCTACAGCAATTTCCCGCTGGAGGGCTACGGGGACGTCATCTTCTCGGCTGAAACGAAGCAGGACACTCCGTACGAGCTGCACTGGTGCTCCCTTCAGGAGACTCTGGTGAGGGCGGGCGTCGCTTGCGTGGTGCGACCGAGTGTCATTCGCCAAGAAGCGCTTCTCCAAGCCGAAGAAGAGCCGACGCAGGAAGTCAAGAGCTCCGGTGCGTCCTCGTGGCTGCACGAGCTTCAGCAGCGTGAGCACAGCCCTCTCTTCTGCCTGGAGCGTCGCTGCGTGGTGGAGGACGTGATGCGAGGGGACGTCTACCGCGTGTCGTGGCTCACTGATGCTGCGGGAACGGCAACGGAACGATTGGCCAGCAGCCCTGCGGAGCTGCCGCCGCTTCTCATCCTGGACGCCACGGTATGCCACGCTGTGTCAACGCAGCCGGGCTTTGCGGCCCTGCGCTGGGCTCAGCTGCACGTCCTGCACCGCGAGCTGGTGGTGCAGGTGCATGGCGTGTACCCCTCCGATAAGGACGTCGCTTTTAACACGCAGCTGGAGACGTACGAGTACCTTGCGAATGTCCGTGGATCTGCGGGCGTGCTGGACGCTGAGGGCGAGAGGAGGGACATCGGTGTCACGTTGATTAGGCAGGGGCTGGCCTGGGTGCGCCGTGTGGCAGACGCAGGTGTGCCTCGTGCTAGCAACTTGTTCGACCTCTTTCGCGCAGTTGACGCAGCCGCAGCAGAGGAAGCAACAACGGCAGCGGCCGTACCGAATCGCGCCAGCAACGATACGACGCTCGACGTTCTTCCGGAAGTTGATGTGGACGCTTGCGCGGCGTTGGGCAAGGCATGGGGACTCTCTGCCGCAGCGGCCGCCGGATTACTCGACTGGCATGGCGAGCGGTGGAGGCGTGCCGGCGCAGCGTCCATGCTCCACGAACCTATTTCGCAGTTGGGAGAGCCGTCACGTGTTGCACCTAAGCCCGGGATCACAGCGGAGGCGTGGAATCGCTTTATGTGGTGCGCTGATTTGCACAGAGACCCCAACGACGAACCGCGCGTGTACCAACACCGGCCCCTCCGCACGCTGTTTCCGCTGGCCGGACTGGCGGAGTGGCGTGTGCGGCTACAAGGGCAGCTGGAGGGCGCCGTCGTGGTCAACACCGACGATGGCCGGCACTTTCTTCAGGTAGAAGTGATGGCGACGACGCCCGCCGTGGAGTGGCGGGAGCTGCGCCGGTCTTACGGTTACGCTGACCTCGACGTGGTGCGCTTCTCACCTACACCGGGTGACGTCGTGCTCGGCAAGAAGGTGAGGGTTGTCATCACCGCCTCCAGCTTCGGCCAGAACGCGGAGCCGCGCCTGCGTGTGTGCTGCACTTCCTACCCTGCGAGCTCCTTCTCGCTGGCGCAGCACAAGCCTTCCGATGTGTGGCCCGTGATGGACGGCGGCAGGTGTGAGGAAGAGCTCTCCATTGACGGGACAGCGAAGGAGGAGCGGGTGTTTGTGCTCGACGTCGTGGTGGAGACGCGAGACGAGGACTCCATGACGTGGACGCAGCGCGGCACCGGGCGAGCGGTGTATCTACTCTCTCCGGATGTGGAGTCCGACGCCGCCGAAGCAACAACGCACAAGGACGCTGATGACAAGCCGAACAGCCGCAGCAACGATGCGGAATCAGAAACACGTAAACACAGCACGGCCCTGCAGCCGTCTTTCTCCTACTTCTGCAAGATGAGTTTCTTCTTTGAACTCGATGCGCCTGCGATGGACGCAGACTCCGACGCTGGCACAGGAGGAAGGCTCCTCTCGCTGCTAAAGCAAGCCTTTTCGGAGCTTATGTACGAGGACGTCGTCATCTTGCCGGTTGGTGTCGCGGAAGTGTGCGGGGTGCGTGGCCTCGTCGGGGACCTTCTCTTCCCCAGCGAGCCAGCGCCGCGGACTGGCGCCAACCCGACGTTGCGCACGCGGGCGCCGGTGTTGTTTGCGCGCAGTTTGCTCTCCGCGATTGGTCAGGCGTGGTGGCCTCGGGAAACGTCTTCCGGCAGCGTCACCTCAACGACTCCCTGGCCGATGTCCAGCGTCGTGTACGCCGCCGTGCTAGAGAGCTTCCGCGTGTGTCTCGAGAAGGTAGAAGAGGAGGAGTGGGCAGCGCGGCAGAGTTTTCTGAAGGAGGTGGAGTGGCACTACCAACTGTTGGACCAGGAGGCGCTCAACACCTTTCTGTCCTACCGCCCTCCCACACCTTTCAAGATGAGCGACATCGCCCCACCCGCGCGATCGACGCCGCAGCGCTGTCTCCGCTTCACGGCGGGACATTCGGAGTTGTGGCGTGACGGGGCGGCTGCCGGAGGGATTCCGCGCCTGCGGTTCCCCGCCTCGATTCTGCCGCCGACGGTCCCCCTGTCGCTCTTTGCTGTCCGCCCACGGGAGCTCTTCTCGGTGGCCACCACGCAGAAAATGACGGTCGTCACGCAGGCAAAGAACGCGCCGCCGCCGAAGACGTTGCAGGAGGTGGCGTACAACCAGCAGGACTGGGCCTTTATGCGGCTGAACTTTCCCTTCTTGCCAAACATTCTGCACTGCGACTGGGAGCGACTGCCGCTCTCGCTGCGCAACACGGAGCGCGGGCTGTGCGAGTCGATTGTGAGGGATGGCAACGTGGTGCGCGAGCCAGGGATGCTCTACACCACGGATCGTATCTTTTCTTTGCTCCTCTCCTACCTTGCGCTGCTGCAGTGCATGCAGGTTAGCTGTGGCAGCTCTTCCAAGCCAGACAGTTCGCTCGACCCGTCGTCATCGGCGCTTGCCTCCGTCTACGTGGCTCTGCGGCAGAGCACCCCCTCCATCTGGGATGACTGCAAGTCTGCCTTGCACTTCTCCGCCACCCTCTTCGTTCTGCCCTCGTACGGTGCGGGGGGCGATGCCGCGAGGGCCGCCCCGCACAGCCGCCCTCTCTTTCTGGGCAGTCGTGACAACGTCGTGACCGACGCCTTCGAGGTGCCGCGGCGGGACAACGCGTCGCCGGAGACGGTTTCCTTTCCGCTGCTGCGCGACCTCACTACGCAGTGCGTGTCCGCCCTTGCACTGGAGTCACTCGTGGAGTCGGAGTTGGAGGCGAAGGCAAATGATGGGGAAGGCCGGGCGACGACAAAAGCTCCGACAGCGGCCTCGGTGACGAACCTCGACGAAGGCCGGCGGCCCGACCAGCTGCGCCTCATTTCGAACCAAGGGCTGCCGTGGAGGCCGGCGCAGGCGAGCACGCCCATCCTTTACCACCCGCTGCCTCGCGTGGCGGTTTTGGCGTCCCCGTTGGTGGAGCGGGAGGAGTACACGGCAGACGCGCTCGGCCGCCTGCACCTCGACCGCGACAGCTTTGCAGGCGTGAAAGCAGCATGCAAAGACGAGGTGCAGGTCCGGCGCAGAGTGGTGTTACAGTATCGCTGTTTGAACCAGTTCAGTGAGAAGAGTCCGTACAAGACGATCTCGTATGGCAGGGCATCCTCGGTCGACATGTTCAGGACGTTAATCAACGACCGCGCACGAGGCAAGGAAATCCAAGCTTACATGTCGCTGCTGCTGCGCAGAAATGTGCTGACAGGCGTCGCGGAAACGGTGTCGGGAGCATCGTGTGACGCCGCTCCTTTGGCTGACGGTCTGCTCACCTTGTATGGCGTCCCAGCCGAGCCCCTCTACGTGCATTACCGCTCCCGTGCGGATCTTCGCTTCACTCTCAGCACCATCTGCCCCCCATTGCGCAGGGCCCTGCTCCAGGCGGAGCAGAACGTCCCACCGAAGGCTGACGTCGTGGAGGAGGCAGAGACGGCTCTTTTCGGGCTCTACGCCGAGGCCGCCGCGAGGTACGTGCGCAAGGTGTACGAGCGGGTGCGCAGGGAGCAGAAGTCCGCCGACGCGGTGCAGCAGATTTCGCTCTTCTGCACGTTGCAGCCGTGGGACGACACGATCCCCCCGTACATCGCCATTCAGGTTTTCCCCGTGTACGCGACGGAGGCGGAGACCACGGCGCGCGTGCTGGACCAGGAGAGCATCTGGCACGACCCCGCCACGTATCAGAATAACCCCCACCGCGCGTTTTCGCTGGTGGGCAGCCGCTTCGGCCGACTGCCCTTGGCGGAACTCCGAATTCATTACGACGTTGCAAAGAACCGTTTTGGATCCTCGTGGAATGAGATGTTCGAAAGCACTCTCGACCCCGCTCCACCGTCATCATAAAAGGAAAAGAAGGAAAAAACGGCTCGGTGCGCAATGAATCGTGGGTGTGCGGTGGAGCACGGCGGCGGCAGGACGAAGGAATGTCTTTCACGAACGGCTGCGTTTAGAATCCTGAAGGCTTCGGCCGTATCCTTCGTGGCAACAGATGGCAGTCGGTTCCACTCATTTTACAACAGCCGTTGCTTTCCTCTTTCCTGCGTGTCTGACTTGCAGAGCAGGTCCAACTGGGCACTGTTCTCACAGCAGAGAGATCCGATGCGTAAGAGGGAATAATACAATGTTGCACTCCTTGACAGCTTAAGCACTAACGGTTCACAACGCTTATTCGAATCAACGACTCGAATGCAGACCCTTACATGGTGTACGCAGGGACGATCGTGAATCGCTGCAGATCGAGCACGTTTGATGCTAATGCGCGACACGCATTGTGCTGATGCTCTCTTTCTCTCATTCGTCTTGAAGAGCGCCGACCAACAGGAGAACGGACATTTCAGCTCTTCATCTGCTCTTTGTATTTCCCCATTTCTTACTCTTTCTTTTTTTCACGTGTCGCTAACGTGTCTTAAACCGTCTGTACTCTATCTGCCGATTGCCGCCACTACAGCATCAGTTTTGAAGCGTAAGGTGTTCTCACAGAAGAAGGATCAATCGACCTTTGTTGTTGTTGTGTGCTGCGAAGATGAGTGTCTTGGACAGCGTTCGCCTGTTGCCAGAGGAGCGTGACGGCAATGTCGCGTCGACGAGCGCGATGGAGGTGGAGGATGACACGGAGTGGGTGAACGTGGTGTACAGTCAGCTGAACGGCACCCCGGCACGCAACGTGAGCACGCGGTGGCAGCGGCTCAACAAACACCGACTATTCATTGGAGTGCTTTCGTTTGTTTTGATGTGTCTCGGCTTGGTCTTGGCGGTGCCTCGGTCGAGCTGCGTGTCGTCGCTGATTCCGTCGATGGGAACCGACTGCAAATCTGTCACGACCCTCTCGTACATCATAGCGGGGCTTCTCTGCCTCACCGGCTTCTTGGGCTGCTTGGCAAGTTACAAGGGTCTGCATCTCTCTCTTTCTTGCTGTCTGGCCGTGCTGTTCTTGTGTTACGCCGTGCTGTGCGGAGGGTCTGCAGGATTGGTGATCTATTCCCGCTTGCATCAGCTGGAGAATCTCGAGTCGGCGTGGCGACAACTAGTGGCGGTGAAGTCGCCTGTGGTGTGTGACATCGAAAAGACGCTGCAGTGTTCGGGCTTTGCGGCGGGGCAATGTTGTAGCGGAACGCCGTTGGTCGAGGGTAGCAAGGAGTCTCGAACAGTCGCCGTCTCCGAGGATCAGACGCCGTGCTTCTTTCAAGCAGCGAATGGCTCCACCTACGACGTGCACAACCGTAGCGAAATATCGTGGCCAGGCACCATGTGCCTCTCAAGCTGCGCGGAGTGGAACTTGAAGACGACGGCAACGTGCGATGCCCCGTTGAAGTCCATGGTGAAGACGTACTTTTTCCACTTTGTGCTCGTGTTATCCGCGCTCACCGTTTTCTTTGGCGTGCTGGGTTGCGTCACCATAGCAGGAATGCTGTGGCGACCCATCATTGACAGCCGAATGGAGCACCGCTTTTGATGCTAGAGAACAGCCGTTCGCTGTTGCTGTTGATTACAGTTGCTTACGTATTTTTCCGCTGTTTTTGTAACGGAGTCCTTCTCGGAAGGCCCCACTACACCGAGACCCTCCTCGCCGCGTGCGAGTTCTGCGTGTGAATTCGATTGTCGCTCACATGCATACTTCCGCCTTTTTTTCTTTTGCTCTCTATTTCCTTTGCGGCGGTGTGCGCCATTTCTCGGCACTGGTCTCTGCGAAAAAGAAAAGGTAGTAACACAAACGCACACGCGCAAAGAATACCGCCTCTGCTTAACCGGCGATCTGCCGTGCTCGCCACAGGCGTAATACGTAAGACACTGTATCGCCCGAGTGTCTGATCAAGATAGTTATGCAGTCCAAATGTTTGCCACCAAAACCTCCACTGTAGTCAGCGTATTCAGAGGAGTAAGTAAGCACGAAAAGGACAGTACTTGACTTGACTGATCACGCTTTGGGCTGCCCACTGCGACTTTTTTGTTCCGCGTTTCCTCGTGTTGAACGGAAGGTCTCTTCTTTCTAGAGCCGACAAGGAACGACGCCATCGGGCTGCAGCGTTGCTGCCTTCTCTACTTCTTCTTCTACCTCTCTCTCCCTCTCGTTTTGGAATTGAAAAGTAGAAGCGAGACAGACGAGCGACTTGAGCGCACCTCGCTGCTGCCATTCGTCTGTGTCGATATAGTTGCGGTGCACCGAGACCACGCTGATCGGATTTCAAAAGAAACTGATATTCCATAATACTCCTTCTTGTGTTGCTGCTGAGGCGACGTCTCAACAGAAAAACATTCATACTGAAATACAAAAAATATCTTCTGCGCGTTCCTAATTAACGTCCGTCGTTCGGACGCGGATAGACGAACGCACCCTCTTCATTGAAACCTTCACCTCACCTTTTTTTGTTTTTGCGAACTCGCGTGACCTTTTCAGCTCACGTTTTGTTGTTGTTCTTCTGCTGCATTTTTTACTTTTCCGTGATACTTCGGGTGCGGAGGAAATCTAAAGAGAGTCCTGAAAAAAGATGCGTAAGGCTGAGTGCACTCCCCGCAATTCGCCGGGGGAGCAGCGCGAGACCGTCAGCTCCAAGCTGGGCGACTCAATGGACTCCGACGCCGACGTTGAAGTTCATTTTGGCCCCGCACGAAATTCACGCAGGTCGAAGGTGTGTTCGCCAAATGGGAGCCGCAACGCCACCGAGAACGCGTGTACGGACGACAACCTCGACTTGCGCGTTACGACCGCCGCGACCGCACCGCGCTTCCTCTCCTTCCTCTTTCCCCACTCGTCGTGGGTGGCACAGGCGTTCCTCTCCGCGCTGTCCGAGGACGGGATGGCGCTCATGACCGCGTGTATTCTTTTTCTTATTTCCTTTGCCGGCTTTGTGACGATGAACTTCATTGCGCCGTCCCGCACCACTCGCATCGCTAGTCAGCTAAATGCGATGTTCACCGGCGACGACGAGGAGAGACAGCGGATGTGGCTTGGCGGCGTGATGCCGGAGGTGGTGGTGCTCTTGCAGGCGGGCCTGCGGGTGATGCTCGTCCCTGCGTTGGCGATCAGCGCGAGTGGAGTTTACGTTTTAGGCAACGCGGATCGTCGTCGCCCCGGATGCTGGCTGGCCGGCTACGGCTGCGCCGCTGTCATTTTGGGCCTCGCGCTGCTCTATCTCCTGCTGCGCGTTGTCCTCGGTAGTCAGCTGAGTGGGCTGGAAGGGAACATCAACGCATCTCTGTACGAGGTGTGGAACGCGCTGCGTGAGGACGGGGTGCCGTGCCAGTGGGAGAGAGCCTTTCCATGCTCCGGATTTCATTGGTGCTGCGTGACGAACACGTCTGCCCTGGAGGACGAGGAGGAGGACCTGGCAGCGTCGGCGGCGTGGGCGTCACTGTGCTTCGTCACGCTGCCGAGCGGGGCGGCGGTGACGCAGGACGGCACGGACGTGACGGAGGCGGTGCGGGCGCAGTGCGGCGTACTGAGGACGCCGGAAGGGGTGGACCCCGAGGAGGTGCTCGCACGCACCTCCGCGTGTGCCCTCAGCGCCGTTCGAACAACGTTGACCGCGACAGCGACGAGTAGCGACGCGAAGCTCGAAAGCTGTGAGAACTACATTCTAGGCCATTTAACATCCACCATCGGATTCGGCTTGTGTCTCGCCTTGGGCATGTCCGTCTGCAGTTTGGTGAGCGGCGTTGTGGCCACAGTTGCTAACCTGCAGCGCATCCGCACGTCTGACTTTGTGCTCGTGAACGACCCCGCAGCGGCGGCGGGCGAGCGGGCCATGGCGGCGAAGGAGAAACACTGAAGCGAACAAGTTCAAATGGCGCTCCGGCAAAGGGTGCGCCTTGTAAAAACTGCTTTCTGCGGTCGACCGCGATTCGGGGGAGAGCGCAATGGAGCAGTATTTGCTTTCCTGGTCAGCTATTTACTTCATTAGAGGTCTTGACAGCTGCGGCTGGTTGTAATCGGGCCCGTTTCGTCAAACGTTGAAACAGTTTTTTTTCGCTCTGCGTTCTCCTTTATTTTCCATTGACTCTTCGTTGTTTTTTTAATTCTGTTTTGTTGCGCTCCTGTTTTTTCTTTTAATCGTTGTCGTCGCTTTTGCAGAGCAGCGTTTAGCCACACTTATTCTCTTTCCTTTTGTTGCCAACGTCCTGTTTTTGTATTTCTAGTTGGTGGCGTCATCGTGGTGCGTGTTCCATAACTGCTAGCCGCGAAGATGCCGCGGCGTGCGGCAACATGCAACGTCTTCTTCTTTGTTATATATACAGTTCCCAGGGTCATGATCGAACCACAGCTTACCTTTGTTACGACAGCGCTGTTCTTCTCGTGGGCCAGATGCGGCCGCCATTTGCTCTGTTGTTGGTATATATATGTATTGAAAGAGGTTATTGGTTGCGGAAGGGGAAGCGGGGATCTTTTCGATAGTGTGTATTCGCCTTTCCGCTTACTCAAGCTTTGGAGTGGTTGCCACGCGCGTACTCCTCAACGTTGGGTGGTTGACCCGATTCATCTTGACGGCGCGCGTGCTGCGATGTACGTAGAGCAGCTGTGCCATCGGAGAGGGGAAACGTGACGCGGTCAAATAAACAAAGGAGTTGCAGCAACATTCAGAGTGCAGTGAACGGCCAATCTCGCACGTCAATGGGCAACATTGAGACGGAGAAGACGAGAGGATCAATGGATGCCGTGCGGTGGAGGACAAGACGAGCAGAGAAAGAAAACTGCCTACTCAACGCACCGCCTTACGCCTTTCTTCTTTCGAACGGCGACGAGCCCGTCGTCACGGTGCAGTGACGTCTAATTTCCCGTTCTCGCGACACCGACGACATCACATCTCTGGCGCTGTTCGCTGATCTACGCGAATGTGAAACGAACTTTAAAAAGCACACCATCTTTTCTTGTTCGCCTTTACAAAATCTCTTCTCACATTAAATATCCACGATGCGAGGTGGCTGTTGGCTCATCACCGCACCGCGTAATACAAAGAAAACTGCGGCACCGCGAGAGTTCAACTTGAGAAGACGCGTAATCCCCACAGCGTCGAGGCCAAGCAAAGTACCAGAGCAACTCTTACGAAGCCGTTGAAGATCCGCGCAATCTACTGCGCTGTCAATGATGAACTCAGGAATAGGTGCAGGCGGCACTCGTCTACCTGTCCCTCGCGTCTACTTGAAGATTAATCGCAAGAGCTGTCGCGACGGCTTGGTCGAGGATGCGCCGGCCAGCCAATACGTGCGGGTGCAATGGGACGCGGCAGAGATGGGTGCCCTTCCAGCTCCGCTGCAGCGTGCGCTGGCAACACGCACGAAGTATCTGTTCCGGCGGCTGCCAGACCCCGCCAAGAAAGCCGCCGCTTCTGGTTGCGGTGACACGGCTGTGACACCATCCGAGACTTCTGAATGCGCTACAGCAGTAACTACTCTCTCCGCTCCCGCGCGCACACCGGTGGAGCGCGTCACACAGGCAGGGCAGTGTGTTCTCATCGAATGCGGTGGGGGAGGAGAGGCAGGGGCAGCGGACACGTCAGCCGCCGCTTCCCCTGCTGCAATGGCGCTCTACGTGTTGGACACTCGAGCCAGCGAGCGACAGGCAATGGAGGAGGCGTTTGGCGAATTCGCCGTCACAGACGACACGCCAGCGGGGTACGACGCCGTGAAGCGTGCGCGAGATACGACGGACGACGTTGCGGATGTCTACTTGGCACCTGTACGGCGGCTGTCACGTGGCCAGGATCACGCCACCGCTCCCCAGGCAGAAGAGGTTGCCCCTTCCATTTCCTGTTGGGGGCCAGTGGAAGAAGATGTGGCGGGCACCACGTGGGAGATGCTGCAGGCGTACGAGGAGCTGCTCTGCGTGGAAAGCGGCGGTGAGGGGGCGGCGGATCTCTACTGCTACCCGGACCACCGCAAAGACGACGAGTACGATAGCAATGCGGAGGACTTCTCCGGCAATGACTACCCCAATGACGCAGACGAAGGGAGCGAGCGTAGCAGCAGCGGTGGGGAAGGAGAAGGATCGGAGTCGTCGACATGGCGGCGTGGCCGGCGTGGACACGGATGCGCGGCCTACGGGATGTTTTGCGAGGAGGGCTACAGGGAGCGTAGTCTCAGCAGTGGGTGGAGTAGCGACGATAACTGAACTCTTGCTTGTGGCTATCAACAACTGTTACTAACACCGCTATTGCACATTTAGAAAAAAAAACACAACAACACCCATTGCGCGTATACTTGTACGTGTGGTTCACAGTTTCTCACTTTGTGCGCTTCCCTGTCGTAGCACATGCAGCTTCACCAAGGCGAAATTGCTTGAGCGAATCTCACGTATGCTTACCGGCGGTGCGGTGGTTCCGTCCGCGCCAACTCCGTCGAGCCAGGCGGCTGATGCGTGCGTTTTCTGTTATCGCTGCAGAACACAAACTCTCTCTGCTATTTCTCCTCTCTCTTTTCTTCAATAAATGTGTCGATTACCGTCAAAGGCTATCGGCACCACAAACACATCCGTGTTTACTCGTCTCCCTCCTCTTCACCATTCATGACGGTGTCCTCCCCGCCGGCGTTCGAGCTGCCGCAGCGCGGGCTCTTCGACGTTGTCGCCGCGAGCGACACCGCGACCTTGTTGACGCTGGTGCGCGGCGACAACCCTTTCGACGTGAGCCCCGGCATGGAGTTGATTCGACAGAAGAAACGCAGTGCGCTGCAGCCCTATGCGGAGAACGCATTGGTGATGGCCAGCGCGGATGTGAAGATCGACGTGGCGCAAATCCCTCGCACACGCGACTGCAGGGGAAATGGCGCGGCGCACGTCGCGGCCGCTTACGGCCTGTCTTCGATGCTGGGGGTTTTAGTGAAGGAATGCGGGTGTTCAGTGGACGAATGCAACGAGATGGGCTTTACCCCTCTGCACGCCGCTGCCCTCCACGGACACGTCGATTGCGTACGCCTGCTGTGCGACCTGGGTGCCTCACTTCTTTGCCCCACCCGCATCGTCGCGTTGGCCGGCGCAGGCGAGGAGGCGTTCTTTGGCGGCCGCACCGCCCTCTTCCTGGCGCACTACGCGCAGCAGACGGCCGTGCTGGCGTTTCTCACGCCCTTCTACGCGGAGTTCATTAAGTCTTTCAGTGACGGAAAGTCCGCGGCGGAGGTGTGGGGAAACGCCGCCACCCTGCAGAACACGCAGATGCTCTCGTTGCTGCTCGACGCGGTGGAGTGCGTTGACGGGCTGACGGGGCTTCCTCTTCTGGCGGTAGAGTTTGACGTGGAGGCTGGTCTGCGCGAGGCCTTGCCTGCCGTGCTGGCCGCCTCCCTCCCGGAGGACCAACGCATCACCCCGGAGCAGCATTTCGTCTTGAGGCGACTGGTCCGCCTCGGCTACATCAATGCCGCCACACCGTTCTCGGCGTCCGCGTCGGTGCTCGACCGCATTCTTTCCACGGCACAGGTGGGGGCGTGGCGCGTGCTGGTCGAGGAGGGCGTCGTGGTACCGCAGACCTGCGAGGTCGAGGCGGTGCGCAGCTGCGGCTACAACGGTAATGGCGAGGAGGAACTGCGCCTGCTGATCTCAGAGGCCCGAGCGCACGCGCGATACCGCAAGGCGAAGCGAAATTACGAGAGGAAGGGCGACAACAATGCGCGGAGGAAGGCGCTGCTGAGCACTCGCGAGGCGTGGAAAGCGCTTCAGTCGCAGATGCGCGCAGACGGCGTCTCTCCAGCCGAGGTTCGACAACAGTTGTGAGGGCAGGTGAATGCAGTTGTTGAAGCCGTCGCGACATTAATCTCCTGTGTTTGGCGATCCTCATCGTTCACCCGATCTATTATCCAAGAGATGTGCTCTTTATAACCCTATCTGGGCCTATTCGAAAAAAAAAGGAAGCAGAATCGATGGCGACCTTATATCTGTTCGACAAAAAACTGGAGACATGTATATTATCGTTAATTTTATGTAGAAGTGAGGAGGTCAGGTAGAGCGGCCTTCATTGTGCCGCTAACGGTGTACACAAAATTCCTTTTTCAAATTGTTGGTGGCAGAGAGGAATCCTGAGCCGCTGTTTTCACGTAAGCAAAGTACAACGCCTTTGTATCAGGCGGCATGACTTCATTATCGGCAAGTGCCGCGCGAAGGTCAGCGTCCATGCGCTACCTCTGCGTGCCTGTAGGTAGTGATCAACCTCGGAATGGAGCAGAGCTGTAAAGCATTGCCGGTGCGTTGATGTATTTGCATGAATCCGGATGCTGTACGAACTACACATCTGTGTGACGTTTCCGTTTTCCTTTGTAATAGTTGGGAGTTCGTGACACGTGTGTGTGTGTGTGTGTGTGTGCCACCACGCACGCAACACTTTTTGCTGGCACTGGCTGTTCTTCTCTATCTTCTCTCGTCTCGATTATTTTCTTGTCTTCTCGACCTCTCTGAGCCCTCCCTTATCTGCTTCTACCACGGCGCTCCGCATCGCTTCCGTACCCCCTCTCAACGCGCCAAACTGCTGCAAACACAGAGAGGGAGAGAGCGCCGCGGCCTGAGTTCCGCACGCACAGAAAGCAATAGGTTCGGCGGCGTGCTATTCGCAGCCTCACAGAGCTGTACAAGGTCTTCCCTCGATCGGCAACAGCAGCAACAAGAGTCAACGACGTAGCACTCCGTGTGGTGCCATGGACGAGGGCTTCGACGCCCACGTGACGGCCGTGGCGCACGTGGAAATCCCCGCCTACGAAGAAGACGAAGTCGCCCTGCTCACCGACGATGACGCGCTGCGGTACGACAGCGTCACGGAGGTGACGAAGCTGCTGCGCTCTTCCTACCTGAGCGCGATGCTGCGGCGCCTGAGCGACTACGAGCAAACAGCCGCGGGCAACAAGAACGCGATCCCTTCTGATGACCCGGAGTACCAGTACGTGTCGGACTGCAGCTCGTTGGTGCTGCGCATTGAGGTGGAAAAGAGTCGCGTGCACGTTTTTCTGCGTGCGCAGTACAGCGCGCGATTTCCTGAGCTGGCCATGTTCTTCTCCGACAGCGTCTTGTACGCCAAGGTGGTCAAGATTATTCAGAATAACATGGATATTAGTGGCGTTGTTGGTCCGTTAGACGAGCTGATTCCGTCGCAGCTGCTCGTGGTGATTGTGGCGTGTGCAGCTACCACAGCCGGTCGTGACTTAACCAGCGAGGAGCTCCGTCGCATTTTGGAAGCCTGCGAGGAGCTGGAAAACTTGGAAATGGCGAAGCAAACCTTCCTCGAGTACATACAGTGCTCCATGCCGCTCATCTGTCCGAATCTCTGCGCCTTCCTCGGCACCGGCATCACCTCACAGCTCTTCGCCATCGCCGGCAGCGTCACGAAGCTGTCGATTATGGACCCCACCGACATCGCCAAGCTGGGCAGCCGCCGCTCCAACGATAGCGGCATTGCGATCAAGACGACCGGCTTCCTCAGCAACTGCGACTTGGTCGCAAACCTGCCGCCGCAGCTGCGTCCAAAGGCGCTGCGCCTCGTGTCGAGCGAGGCCCTCAACTTAGCTCGCATCGACGCCAACCGCCGCGCGCCGACGAACTACGAAGGGGTGCGGACACGGCGGCTCGTGTGCAACCGTATGCGCGCGTGGTTAGACCCTCCGGTGCTTCGCGGTGCCGGGCACAACATGTACGAGCGGCGCGGACGAAAGCGACGCCGCACAAACTGACTCCTTTTTTCTGGTCTTGTTCGGTTGCATTGGAGACTCCAGCGACGGCGCTCCCTTGGTGTTTGCGTGGCTGCGGCTTTTTGTCCCCCTTTGTTTTCTGTTGACGTTCTTCGCGTATTCGTGTGCGGCTGTGCACTTGTGTGTTAAATCATACGAGGCGGAAAGATAGTGTGCGCTTACGTCGCGTCGCATTTGTTGTCTCTCTCCCATACAAGGTGTTGCTATAACGTGTAAAACGGCTGCCTTTCATCAGAAAGCCGCAAGCTTCAGTATTCTGTGATCTGAATGTGCCCGTCTCCTCTAAACGCCGGCTTTCGCATTTGGAGTGGTGAGTTGCCGGATGTGTTTGTGTGCCCTCTTCCACCACCGTGTCGTGCGCTCCACACCGCCTTTACTCTACTCTTTTCTTTGTTGTTGTTTCGTCTCTTCACTACAACCGGCCAACGTGCAGAAAACGCATTCGAGGCCTCTCCGTTCGTCTTCGCCTTTCTTGGCGCGTTGTCGTTCCGCTGAACCCCTCCCTCCGGCGCATTCGGCCCGTCACCCACTTCATCTGCTCTTCTCTGTTTCGATTCGGTCTCGTCCGCAGACCGTCTGTTCTCATTTATTTTTCTTCTCTTCCGGGTCTCTCTGCGTGTGCACCCGAACGGGCGACTTCAATGGAGCGCAAACACTCAAGAAGCCCTACTTCTGAAGTGACGTCATGCAACGACCTCGGGGCGGAGCTGTGGGCCTTGGTGTATCACCTCTTTGCTAAGTACAAGGACAACTGCACTTTGGCGGTTCGTGAGTTGGGCCTGCGTACACACCACGAATTTGAAAGCGGCAGCAGCGCGTTGTTTCCGCGGTCGCCAGCGGATGTGAAGCGCAGTGTTTGGTACGCGGACATGTCTGCCGCCTACTCCGCTTTGAGGGAAGACCTGCATCAGACGCATCTGGCCGATGTCACGGAGGCGACGGATCTCGTGTTAAGCCTATACCCGGATGGCTGCAACGTCAGCGAGTACGCCGAGGCGGTACGGACGAGTGCGGCGGTGCTGCCGTGCACCGTGCCCTCCGACATGATCGACTTCTTCGTCAGCAAGAAGGGGGACGAGTTCAAGGCGGACGGCGTCCACGTCGTCGCGGGCGAGGCGCTGGCGAAAGACGTCATTGAGGGGCTGATGTTCAGCGCGTTGCTGCCGCGGCAGTGGTGGTGTGCGCGGTTTGCCGCCGTGGCCCGCGCCCGGCGCGTCGGCGTGAAAGGGAGTCCGCCGACGCTCTTCATCGAGTACGAGCGCCCTCCCGGCGTGGTGCACGTCCGCCGCATCCACCTCGGCTCACATCTGCGCGAGAACACGCCGACGGTGCATCTCGCACGGCGCCTCGCCACCACGCACGAGTCTCTGCTATCAGAGGCGCAGTTTCAGTCGCTGCTCCTCCGGTGTCAGCGTTTGATGCGCCACTCGCCGGCCACCGCAAGCCCCGCCACCACCCGAAGCTCGCCGTTGCCGGCGGCAACGGTGTCTGCGGCACCGATGCAGCAGCCGGCTACGTCGCCGGCCGCCACCGAGAGCTCCGATGGTGACCGTGCCAAGAGCACTAAGCCGCAGAAGGCAGACCTGGGTCTCCTCTATCGTGACCCCGACGCGGCGCTGCAAAACGTCGATTTGAACGATGCGGACGACGTCACGTTGCGTGAGTTCAAAGAGGTGATGAATGAAGGGTTCAACAAGAACGTGATCAAACCCGGCGATCCTGGATACGTCTACGACAAGCGGCTTGAGGTAACGAAATCGGCCCAACAGAGCGAGTGGGATGATGACTCGGATTGAGAGCCACTGATAGAAGCAAGCATGACAAAAAAAAACAGGAAACAAAAATTTGTACGATTTGGTTGACAGCAGAGAGTGCACAAGTCAGCCGCAACAGAAGCTGCAGGGAGTTGCCTGCTTTTGCTCCACACGGACAAAGCGCACGGTGCATGCACTCGACATCACAGTTGAATCCACGTGAACGCGAAGTTGACGCTAACCAGAAATAAGAAATGACGTCCGTACATTTCCGCAACACAACATAAAGAATGGTGCTCTTCACGAATGAGTGTGGGTGAGAATTCAAAAGCACTTTCTTTTATATATATATTTTTGCCCATGGAAATCGCTCGCTTTGTAAATTGCTTCCGTCTGTCTTTTCGACTGCATTTCCGCTTCCTCCTCTTCCCGCATGTGTCTGCGACTTACTCGATTTTTGCCGTCTCAAGCTTCTCTTCGCCTCCACGCGTTACGGTGAAGACGGCAGCACATTCTCTGCTTAGTGTTTAGCAATTCGCGTCGCACGTCCGCTCTCCTTCTGGTCTAGAGAGGCAGTAGGTCATCGGCGAAGAGCCCACTCGTGCGATTTGATACCCAGCAAATGTACCACCATCACCACCTAAGCAACGACGCCTTTGCAAAAGAAGGCGAGTCCGGCCCTTCGGCGCGTGTTGTATATGACGCTCGCTTAGGAAGCTGTCTCGTGTGGCGCCCAGTAGAGGGTCCACCGCTGCCACGCCCCCTGACTGCACGTCTCGCGGCGCCGCCTCACCCTCTTCCGCGGCAGGTGAAAACGTACGTCGCAGCTCCAGACAGGGAGGGCGGCCCTCCCCCTCCTCCGCCGTCGGTGGCGCCTCGCGAAGGTCATTCGCATCAAGAAACTGAACTGCTTGCACCGGCAGGCTCGGCACCCGTGAAGGGCGCAGAGGGTCGGGCAGCGACCCCACCGCGAGGCCAGCTGCTGCCCCGCGGAAGAGGCGGCATTGACGACGTGCTAAAAAGCGCGCGGACGGCGCAGAGCCTCTTTTACAGTCTGCAGGAGCGTCGGCTGATGGCGGAGTACCGCCGCAGTCAACGAGAGCTGAAGGCAGAGCTGGACCAGCAACGGCATTCCAAACGGATGCTCCAGCTTGCCGCCTATCAAGAGGAGTTGGTCAACTTGTACGGTCCAACCGTACGCGACATCATCGCAGATACGTTCTTCGATGATGGGCACGACCCGGTGTTGGCGGTGCTGAAAGCAAAGAGAGAGGCTCCGTTATCCTATCCGTGCGGTGCCAACACGTTGCTTTCTAAGGGCTCCGGGGCGCCGAATACTTCGCGCCAGCTGTGGGAGCGCACAGACGGTGCAGCGATGCCGTCGCCGACTTCTGCGCAATCCCATCGCGAGCGTGTAAGTCGAGAGCGGGAGATGCTTCTGCGCGCACTTGACGAGAGACGATCAGGCCGCCGCAGTGGATATTGAAGGAGACGCATCAACAACCATCAAGAGCAACGGATCGTCCTCGCGTTGTTCGTTGCGCTTGTGGCTTTGCCAACTTTACTTTTCTGCTAGCCTTCCTGTTAGATTTATTTGTCAGGCGTACGCACTCAACACCGCAACGACCCTAATCAACTTCTTTTTTTTCCTGATGCATGCACAGGGGAAGCCGTTTTCAGCATCACGTGGAAGTCTTGCGCGTCTTTTTTCTTCTTTCTGTTAGTTCCATACTTGAGCGATTTCCGCTATGAATGCGTGAGGAAGCCCCCCAAAGAAAATATGCCAGTGTCTCTCAGCGGCATCTCTCTGAACGTGTTTCCTGCTCCTCCCCTTCCTTTCTTCTGCTGCGCTTCCCTTCTCCTCTGTTCTCCTCATATTCTCGCGATCGTCGTTTGCTTTCCACGAAGGTGGCCAACTCGGGCAGCACTCGATCAAAGCAAAAAAAAAAGAACTTGTCGTCTCACCAACACGCGCGGCTCCTGTGGCGATCTCCGACGGTGTAAGCGCTGTTGTTATTCTGTGTGTCTCCATTCTTGTGTGAAGGGGAAAATGGACGACGTCTCGTGCAAGACGGCTGTTAACACGCGGGAAACTTTGGCCGCGCGCCTGCCAAAGAAGAAGGCGGTCGCAACGCACGCGAACGCGTCTCTTCACCAGAAGGCGGAGACCACGTACGACACGACGTACACGGCGGCCCCGGCCGAGCGCGCCTCGGTAGCTGCGCACGCCTCTCAGAACCTCGCGGGCAGCTGTGATCGATCCTCGCAAGCGGACGCGGAGGCGACGTGGACGCCGGACGACGACACGGTCAGGCGACAGCAGAAAGAGGATCAGCGACGCGGCTACAAGGTCGTCTCCTGCCCCTCATCCGAATGGGAGTCGACGTCGCACGCGGCGTCCCGTAACGTGCAGCCGGAGCAGCAGCTCGACTTCTACGCCACCACGCGCAAGGTGGAGCAGGTCGACGACGATAATCGAGGCGGCCTCGTGGGCAGAGTGCAGCGGTCACTGGAGATTCGCACGAAGCGCGCCGAGGACGCCACGCTGCGGCCGGCAGCCCCGTCGTTCCCCAACACGCACCGGAGAATTGTTCCGCCCATTGTGGCGGTGGAGTTCCATGGCGCGAAGCACAACTACCTGGACTTGGTTGAGTGCACGCAACTGAAGCCGCATACCGAGGAACAGATCGGGTTTTCTGCTGCCCCGCTCACGCGGTTGCCAGGTGAGACGCTCTCGCAAGACTTGAAGGTGCAGAGCAAGGTCATTACGGAGATGGGCACGTCACACGAGTTATTCCGCGGCACGTCGAAATGCTTAAGTGACACCCCAGTAGGCTACACCGGCTACGTGCCGATGTCCGAGCGCAATGCCGCTGCCATCCACCACGGCGATGACGCGCAGCGGTTGTTTGCCAAGTCGCACATGACGCTGGCTGAGCACGGCGGAAACGTCGATCTCCCGCCGTCCGCATCGAACATGGCGGCGCGGCGACGCAAAGGACGCAACGCGCCGTCACCGAAGGCGCTGGCCCCCAAGTCGACGGAGTCGATCAACCGAACCGCGGAGGGCCGCGTGCTGCAGACGTCGCTCTACGGCACCCTCGAGCGGGAGCGGCAGATGAACATTCGCGATGACGCACAGAGTCAAAACTACTTTTGAGCGGCCTTTTTGTTTTCTCCTCCCTTCTGCGCTGCTGATGTACATGAGCAACCGTCAATGACGCTCCTTTTGGTTGTTATCTTTTGGTGTCGATTTCGTGACTCTAGCTTCGTTTTTCCTCCCACTTCTCATGTACGATGTATTCTCCCCATTCTACAGTACCAAAATAGTTTCTCTATGAAGGATAAAAGCAAGTATGTTTTGTTTTGCTTACTAGAAGCGTTGAAACTAGAAAAGGAAAATTAATATGAACATATGTAGAAGAGGGACGGGCAAGCGTTCGCAGGTGCGAGGTCGCATCTCCGCTGTTCCTCTTTTTCCAACATGCACCACAGCGGCCAGCCTCGCCGCTGCTTTCTCATTCCTGCGCTTTGTTTTCAAGCATGCGACCGCTGCAACGGCTTTTCTTCTCGCTGTTCGGCTACACCGTGCTGTACTTCTTCTAGTTTCTTTTCCACCCGTTCACGCTATATAATAGCTTATGCACGCCGACAACGACCGAATCACACATCAACGAAAAATTCTCCCTCTGCGGTTTCTTTCGATTTCTGTTTCTCGTTCTCGGCTGAATTGCTTCGCCTAGCGCGAATAAAATTTTGTCATTTCTCCTGCGACTTTATCGGTTACGTAGCGATCATCATGGCAGGCAACCCTCTCTTTGAGGCGAGCAAGCTGCAGTTCCACGCACCTGAGTTCGACAAGATCAAAGCCCAGCACTTCGCCCCTGCGTTCGATGCGGGCATGGCGGAGTAGCTGGCGGAGCTGAAGGCCGTTAAGGAGTGCACCGAGGAGCCGACGTTTGAGAACACTGTGCAGGCTCTGGAACTCTCTGGGCGGCTCTTCACGCGCGCCACGACGATCTTCTTCAACTTATGCTCCGCCAACACGTCGCCTGCGATGCAGAAGCTCGAACAGGAGTACGCGCCGCAGTGTGCGGCGCACCGGGACGCCATTTTCCTTGACCGCAGTCTGTATGAGCGCCTCCGCGCGGTGTCCACCAAGCGGGAGCAGCTCGAGGAGGCCGAGGATCGACGTCTTGTGGAGGTGCTGGCGCAGAAATTTACGATTGCGGGTGCTGCCCTCTCGGAAGAGAAGAAGACCGCCTTGCGTGACATCAACGCACGCCTCGCAACACTAGAGACGATCTTCGGTCGGAAGCTGCTTGGCACCAACCTTGCCGGCTCGTTGATTGTTGACACAGAGGCAGAATTGGACGGCCTCAGTGCAGAGCAGCTGATGGTGGCGAGACGCTTTGCTGCGTCGCTGGGCCGTTGCGACGAGTTTGCTCTGAAGTTGCTCAACACAACTCAGCAGCCGCTGTTCGCGTCGCTAAAGACACGCGAGACGCGCCGCCGCCTGTACGAAGCCAGCGTGAATCGTGCCAGCCGCAAGGACGACAACGACACCCGCTCCACCATTGAAGAAATTCTGCTCCTGCGGCTGCGGAAGGCGCATCTATTGGGCAAAGCGTGCTTTGCGGACTGGAAGCTGCAGGACCAGATGGCAGAGCGGGAGACGGCAGAGAAGCTGCTGTTGGACCTGACGCCGCCTGCGATGGCCGCCGTGGAGCGCGACGCGCACGAGATACAGGAGCTCATCAAGGCACGAGGCAACGACTTCGTGGTGGAGCCATGGGACTGGGCCTTCTACGCGGAGCAGGTCCGCAAGCGAAAGCACGACCTGGACGAGGCGGAGCTCATGCCACACTTTGAGCTGCAGACGGTTCTCGAGAAGGGTGTCTTCTTTGCGGCGAACCAGCTCTACGGGATTACAATGGTGCGACGTACCGACCTACCCGTGTACGATCCCGACACGCTCTGCTACGAGGCCTTCGACGCCGACGACACGTCACTGGCGCTCTTCTACCTAGACCCGTATGAGCGACCCAACAAGAAGGGCGGGGCGTGGATGACGTGTTATGTCCTTCAGTCAAAGCTGCTACAGCAGCGGCCGGTTGTGTTCAACGTGTTGAACGTGCCCAAGCCCGATCCCGGCAAGCCGACGCTCCTTTCGCAGCGCAACATCATTACCCTCTTCCACGAGTTTGGCCACGGTCTGCACGGCATGCTGAGCGACAAAAAGTTCGCCTCGCTGGCCTGCACCAACGTCCCACGCGACTACGTGGAGTTGCCGTCGCAGGTGAATGAGAAGTGGGCGCACTACGGCGACGTGTTGAAGCACTACGCTATCCACTACGAGACGAAGGAGCCGATACCGCAATCGCTGATTCACAAGATGCAAGCCGCCGAAAAGTTTGGTGGCGGCTTCCAGACGCTGGAGAACATCAAAGCCTCTGCCGTGGATCTCTATTTGCACTCCATCACCGACGAGAAGGACTTCCGGCCAATTCCAGAGATGGAGAGGGCGGCGATGGAGCACTTCCAAATGGGCATGCCGGCCGTGCCACCACGCTACTTCACGCCCTACTTCGCTCACACCTTCCAGTGGGGCTACTCCGCCGGGTTTTATGCGTACACATGGGCGAAGTTGCTAGACTGCGATGCGTTTGAGTGGTTCCGCGAGCACGGCGGCCTCGCCCGCGCCAACGGCGACCACTTCCGCAAATGCGTCTTATCGGTTGGCAACACGATTGATTTGAATCAAGCATACTTCAACTTTGCGGGACGCAAGCCAGGCGTTGGTCCTCTGCTGCGCAGCCGTGGCCTTTAGTAGCGGGATTGGTGTGACAGTCACAGAGTTGAAGAGCTGCTTTCGCTTTTCTCTCTCCCGTCTCTCCTTTTGTGCTGCCCGCGTCACTGACTGCTGTGCCACTCCTATTGCTTTCGAGTTCGCCTTTGTTTTCAACGAGCAGTGTTGCTGCTAACGGCAACGCTGAATTCATTTCTTGCTTCTTCTTATATTCTTGCGTCAAGAGACTCATCCCTCGTGTGGTTGCCGTGCACGTGCACTTTGAATCTCGAAGTGCCATTGCATGCAAACGGTGTTTTTCCCCTTCTCTTTCCTCCGCATCGGGCATTTCTTGCCCCGGTGGCTTTTTCATTAACGCCTTTATTACGGTTTTTCGTTTTGCCGCTTTTTCACTTTATTATTGTGCGGAGTCGAACTACTCCTTCTGCAGGGCTAACCCAAACAAATGCTCTGTAAGGCGCCATCCAAAAGTGCTCGAGTGGCAGATCCAAGTGATCATCCAGGACTTGAAAAGCGGTTCGTATCCCCGTAGGAAACCGGAGAGGACCTCTCTGTTCACTCCTCAAGGGCGTTTAGAGCAATGCAGTTCACTGGACCGCGGTCGTTCGCGTGTAACAGTTCGTGTTGGCGTCAATTCGAGCTCTCTCTCTTTACTGCCGCCACATCTCGTCCTGCTTCTTATCACTGCTCCGTGCGTGTTCTCCAAAGGTGCTCATTGAAAAGACACGGCAACACAATTTCCCGACGATAGCTATATGTGCTTCTCTTTTCCTGTGTAAGTACTGTACTGCACCTAAATGCAACATCGCTGATTCATTGAAAACCTCTTCTGATCTCGCACACCAAAAATATAGACGAGTTTCTTTCATTCCTCACCGAAGTAGCTGCACGGATGGCCCTTGCTGGTTGCTCACCGGCACTTTCTCAGCGGATTTGTGCGACTCCATGTTGTCGGATGTATCGCATCTCTTCTCCCCCAAAAGAAAAAAAAAACAATAGTAATCGAATTTTTCTCCGGTCTTCCCTAAGCACTCTCTTTCTTTTCTATGTTGCTATTTGTGTCGAAGCTTTTGGTGGCGTGGTGGATCACGCTGATGAGCGCCATTGGTGTGTGGCTGCCCGTTTTCTACGTCGGCCGCAATCGCGAAGAACCTCTCGTTGAGATTGGAGCCTTCGCACGGTGCAAGAAGGCGACTTTAATTGCCTCGTCCGCCACCGTGAAGTGGTACCTCTCTCTAGCCAACTGCGTCTCTGCTGGCATGCTGCTCACCATGGCACTACTGCACTTCTTTCCGGAGTCGTTCGAGGCCGGTGCGTTAGGCGCCTTGCCGGCGCCGACCTCTCTCTGCTTTTGGTTGCTGGCGGGCATATTGATCCCCGCGGTGCTTGAGCGATCGATGAAGGGCGGCAGCGGCCACAGCCACGGCGTGTCCAGCGAGACGGGCAGCAGCAGCAGCGGTGGAGGGACGGTTTCCGTGGCAACGCTGTTGATTGTGCTGATGTGCTTCCACGGCGTGACGGAAGGGCTGTTGCTGGGATTCGAGGAGAAAGTTTCCGCTTTGTTGAGCGCGGCGCTGCCGCTCTCCATTCACAAGCTCTTCGACGGCCTCGTCATTGGTGTCGCCGTGGCGAAGGAGATGCTTAACCAATCCGCTGAAGCCACGCCAAGTCCTTCCCTGGCAGAGGCGGAAGGAAGGCTAACAGAGAAGGGTCCCCGCTCGTCGATGCGGGAATGGAGGCGCCTGTACCAGAGCTCCGTGGGTGTGTGGCTGCTGCTGACTCCTATTACGATGATTTGTGTGGTGCTCTGTACCGTTGTGATGCAGCGCCGCGACGGTCTGGCAGTTGTCGGCAATATCTCCACACAGCCGCCAGTGGTGCTGCCGCTGTCCTCCACCTCCGCCCCTGAACTGGCCCCCTTCGTTTCGATGTTAGCCGCAGTGCAGGCAATGGGCAGCGGCTCGTTTATCTACATCGGTCTGGGCATCTTGAACCGCGAGGATCTGGTAGGAGTTTCGGCGAATGCCGCCTTACTGGCTGGAGTTGTATTGACCGGCGGCTTGTTTTTTATCAGTAGCTCTTCTCATTGACAGCGCTCGCGGCGATTGCGCATGCGCGTTTGTGTGCACGGTGTTGGTAGTAGCTTAGGCGGCTGTTTTCACTCATCGGCTCTTTTGCTTCTGGCGATACGAATTCTGCTCTGCTGATGGGTTCCTTCTCCCTGTTTTTTCCTTTCTCTTAGTCGCTTAGACGCTTGTTCTATTTCTTTTGACCGTGTTTTTGCTGTTTGAGCGGCAAGCAATCTTTTGTCACGTGCGAACCTTTTCTTTCTGGCTTGGCTCTTTTCACTGTGGCGACATTAGGTTCTTCTTTTATCCCCCGATCCTTGTTTTTGTCTTTGGAGCGCACAGTTATGCAACGGCGAAAGCGACATTTGTATTGCGCATTGCGGTGTTTCACTGCCGGCGCGTGTGCGCCGCTGTTTGTGGCATCGCCGTGACGTTCAGTATTCGCCCGTCACGTTTAAGGTGCGCGCGAAGGTGGAGAATGCTGTTTTCCAGCTGATGCTCTCACTGTTCGTGTTTGCATCTTTCCCCCCTCTCTTTCGCGGTGTTTTCCGTTTTACGCGAAGATCCTGCTGCATTTCGAAGAGCGGTTTTACGACTTACTGTCTCTCCACAATTGACCTTTCCGCCGGTTGGGTTGCGTCAGCGTTGCTTCCACCTTTAGTCTTGAGCTAAGCAAAACAACTGCAACAACGAAGCGTCGTCTTCGCATTCACGATGCTTTCACAGTAAACGAGGAATACCGCACACTACTCTGCCTTTTTCTAAAGAATTATTAATATTCATTTCATAGTCCTCGTTAGTTAAAAAAAAAAAATGAAACATGCGTCTCTCTTTCTTTGCAAATCAGGCGAAAACAATGCAGCGAAAGGCGTTCGTAGTTCACTCACGGCGCTCAGGTGTACAAGTCAGCCACCTACGCGACTCTTCCGAGATGTGCGTCCAACGCGAAGACGCAAATCGTAGCTGCCGTGCTCTGCTGTCGCTGCTACTCTCATCCGCCGTTTCACGGAGCTTTACGAAAACGAGTCCGCAATGCTCGAACAACTACGTCACCTCCTCACGTACGTCCGAGTCGAACTCAAAGCTCAATACAACAGAAGTGATTGCTGGCTGCTACGGTTTCTTTTGTTCGTCTCATCGGGGAATGCTTCGCTGCTGGCGGCTGCAGCCCAGACCTCTATTGTCCCTCCACACACGTTGCGCGGCGTCTGACGCTGGTCAAGAAGGCCGAGACGCGTTCGAATGCCGGCAACGCTGGTATCAGCGCCAACTGCATACTCAAACCCTGTTCCCGGTAGACTTAATTCCTCTCGCACAACGCTTGCCGTTGGATCGTTCCTCGTCGCCGCTGACGCAGAGAGAGGGGCGCTTCGGGGGCCAAACATACCGCAACGCAGATGCCATGACGGATGCCTTTTTAAGCTGCTGCCGCTCTTCCCTCTGCGATGCGACGGTGCTGCAGTCGATATTTCGTCAGCTCTCGCCCGACCAGCAATGTGCGATTTTGACGCAGAGTTTATCGCACGAGACGCACCAACGCCTGCCGCTCATCAGTGCGTGCGTGGAGGAGGCGTTGCGCAACTCCACCCTCTCTCCGGGGCACTGGATTCTTGTGCTGTCGAGTGTGAAGGCAGGCGACCCTGCACCCCCGCTCCCCGTTACGGCGATTTTGAAGAACGTCTTTCTGAGCCGTACAAGCGCGTTTGGTTCCCCTGACGACGCTCGTGTGTTTATTGCGCAAGCGCTCTCTTTGATGGAGCGTCAGAAGACGCCTTTTACATCGATTGTGGACTGCTTGAGCGCGTGCGGCCTCGCTTACGAAGCGTGCGCTTACGCGTCCTCGTCGTCTTCCTTTGTTTCTTTTCCATTTGCCGGTTCTTCCTCGGTTGAAGAGCAGGGTGGGTGGGGCTACGGCCCTCTTCTCCACCGTATGTGCGCGCTGCCCAAGCCTCCGTTGAAGTGGTTCGGCGCCGTACGAAGCAAAATGCCTCCTGCTGTGCAGCGGTACTCCACGCTCGTGGTGCTCCACGCTGCCCTGCGCAAACGCGGTGATATTCGGTGCGTCGAGGACGAGGTGTGGCGCCTCTTCACGGCGGAGCTGCTCAGCCCACTGGAGGCGGCGAGTGCCCTTCATTTTGTGCTGCACCACGGCAACACATTTACGGCGCGACTTTTGCTCGACCACTGCCACACCGCACAGCAGGTGCTGACGCTCATGCGATACACGCATGGTGCAGAGCACCCTTTCACCTTTCAGGCCCTGGAGAAGTCTTTGACGACGCGAACAACAGAGCGCGTTCATACGCACCTTCGCCTGGAGAGTCGGGAGAGGCGTACGAAGCTGGCGCTGTTCTTTGATGCGCAGCTCGGCAACTGCGAGGCCAGTAGGAGACCATCAGAGAGGGGCGAAGACCCCGAAGGAGAACTCTGTACGCAGACGCTGTCTATCCGCTCCCTCGACCGCGGTCTCCTTCACCAGTGCCTGCGCGACGCCCTCCCTCACAGTGTCCTCGTGAGAGGGGAGCGCTCCCTCGCACAGGTGCTCGCTGCCATCCCAGCCTCCGCCGTGGAACACGTGGCGAACTCGCTGCCCACGGTGCACGGCGACGTCCTCTCGTGGTGGATCTCGCTCTATTTGAAGGGCGGCAACGTCGATGGCGCGCTGGCTGTCCTGACCGTCGTCGCGGCGCGGGGCTGCCTGCCGCACATGGCGGTGTTGGTGGAGCTGCTCGAGTGCACGCAGGACGACACGGACAACTTCGTGCGCAGCGTGACGATGCTTCGGCAGAGCTTCCCGCAAGCGACCGACGCGGTACTCCGCGCTTTTGTGGAACGCACGGCGACGTCGATGACGCGTGCCGCGCCGCCGTCCACCACCACAGCGCAGGCGGTGCACGCCCTCAAGTCGCTGGCCGTCATGGGCCTCCCGCGGCTCTCTGCACGGTGCCTCAGCGACATCGCCGCGCACGATTCAGCCGACACGATCTCCGCCGTGATGGCGCTGGCACAGGAGCTGGGCGGCTCTCCGGGGTGCACGACGGAGGCCGCCCCGCTCGACGTTGCCGCTATTCGCGGTCTCGCAATGGCGGGCCGGCAGCTGAACTACCGCGTGTGTGTCTCCGTGGCTGCGTTTGATGCGGATGGCGTGTACGCTGGCTGGTGGGGCTCCGCCTCACGCCCGCTACGCTCGCTAACGCGGTTTGCCTACTTGTCGGCGGACCTCTCGCTTTGGCCGTGGGTGGAGAAGGAGGCGCTCGCTGACTCTTCACGGCTTTCCTGCGACGAACTGCACAAGGCTGTTCGAATCGTGGCACTGGGCAGCCGAGATGCGAAGATAGCGGTTGCGTTCTGGAACGCAGCCAAGGCGAAGATGCAGCACGAAGGCGAGAAGCGGCGTGTGAGTCGAGAAGATTGTCGAGCGAGCGCGAAACGCGATGAATACACTCTCGCATGCGTGTGTGCAGTGTGCGTTACGCAAGGGCAGAAGCAGCTTGCATCGCACTTAATACGTGACGAGAGCAGCAACACCAACGCTTCACCACTGCTGGCTGCCTTTTCAACTCTTCACATGGCGCCTACTGAACGGCAACTTGCGATACGTAAGAGCGAGCTGCAGTTCGAAAAGTTTAGCAAACGTTCACTTACGCGGAAGGCGAGGGGTGGACTTCTTGGGCGTGGAGCCCAAAAGGCGTCCGTGCGAGAGACACCACGGAGCTTGCTGTGTTACTTCCCGCCGTCGCTGCAGCGTCTTGTTCGTGCGTCAGGGTCTGTTCTTGTCGATTCCTTTTCAGCCCCGGATGAATGGGAACATTTGGGGAGAGGGAAATCGCCAACGACGTAGAAGGTTGATGTCGCGTCGTTCGGTGGTGCTTGATCAGCTGTTTTCAATACCGTCATTCAGCTTGTTGCTGCCGCTACGAGGGTGCGTTGCTGCCCGCTTCTCGCGGTCTTGGCACCACTCAACGCACCAATTCGTGTCGCGTAGTGGTTGTTCATCAAGAAGAAAAGAAAAGTGAAAGAGTCTTTGAGTCGTGGCGACACTTGATTCCTGTACGCCGGTGCTAGAGCGCACGTTTCCGACGGCAGTACGCACGCCACTCAGGAATGGGTGTTATCATAGCGGTTGAGGCGATGGTGTGGTGCTGTGCTCCTCGCTGGAAAAAAAAAAACCCCGATGGAGATTGCTGCTCTTTCTTTTTTTCGGTCCTGGCTTTGCAGTCAGAAGAGGTTCTCGCTAGGTGCTGGCCTTCTCTGCGCTTCCTTCCTCCCGCTTCTTTCTCAACTCTTTTCACTGCATCTAACTCTCTCTCTAACCTTGTTGCGCTGCAACGGCCTTCTTAAGGAAGCGAGCTTGCAGTCCACCCCCGGGCAGAGAAATAGGAGTCGCCTTGGTACTTTAACGTCGCAGAGAGTCGAAAACACGAGAAAGCGATGTGGCGGTCTCGTGCGTGTTTGGCTGGCTTCACGATGAAGTACAAAAAAGGTACTGGCCTGTGGGACGAGGACCACGTAAATGACTTCAACGCTAACAAGTACATGTCCGCGCGGTCTACCATGCGCTGGTACTACGGGATGGAGCGGCTGCAGACGCGCAACACCCTCAACGCACGTCGTAGCACGCAGAGCCACAATAACAACAAGGGTTTGCACCACAGCGGCCGCGGCGCCTTCGAGCGCGAGTTGGAGCGCCGCGACATTCCGGTTGACAAGTACCCGCTGACGACGACCACCGGTGCGGCGCGTGTGGCCGAAATGGTCCTGCTGCGCCGCGCGGAACTCGAGAAGCAGGCGAAGGTCGCGATGGAGAAGCAACGCAGCGAGCTGCGACGTGATGCGCCGTCGGAGTGGTACGACGAGACGGACGGGCCTCTCAATCCGCGTTTTCTAGTAAGCATGCAAAGCAACTACACGAAGACGATCACGGAGCTGCCCAATGAGCCCATCACGCGTGCGTGAATTTGTTTGTTGGTTGCGATGCGGTTTTGCTCTGAAGGGCACGATGCTGTGCCGTGCGATGCTGAAAACGAGCCTCGGGGCTGAGATGAAATTCTCTTTGACGTATGACTTCACATCTTCAAAAGCAGAAATATAAAGATGAGCGGATCAAACGGCCTGCCAACCAGCAATTAAAACGGTAGTGCTCTCCGCTAGTTATCTGTTCTTTTCCTTCTGATCAATGCTTCCCATGCGTTAAGTACTTCACGCGGGTCACCCTCCTTATTTGTTGGTTTTCTTTCCTTTCCACTGGGACGGTACTTCGCTCCACGGCGCATTATTCTCTCTTCTCTGCGCTTTGTCGATTCCTTTCCGCGTTGCTCTGACGTTTTCATTCTTTCTTTGGTCTGTACCACTTTGGCCTTCTTGTTCGGTGCCTGCACGTCTTTTCCGCGGTTTCTCTCAGCCGCTGTTGCAAATTTGAAGGAGGAAGAATAACGGTTAGAACACTCACAGTTTTCTAACAGTAGTGCCTGCCCAAGTGCGGCCTCGATAGATGACAGACCACCTTTCTGAGCGTTGTTGCCACCGTTAACACACGCCTTGCTCGCTGCACTAACACCTTCGCGAAGGCGAAGTTGACCATCGGACCGCTATGTCGGCCCCCTTGCCGTTTGATGTCCTCTTCTGCACGAGCGAAGATCCGCAGCATCCCATCTCGCAGCTCGCCGGGGGAGCCGCAGATGCGAGGGCTGGGGACGCGTCTCTCACGGGGTGGCAGAGTGCGCGCAATGGGAAGGTTCCACAGACCCTTGTCCTGCGCTTTCACGGCAATGTCTGGCTGCAGCAGCTGCGCATCCTATCACATGAGTCGAAGATCGCCACAAAGGTCGAGGTGCGGGTTGCGAAGCTCGCAGACGACGACGACCGTGCAAACCCGCCGTCGTTCCGCAGTGTGCGCTTTGTGAAACTCGGCTCCGTCGATTTTAATAGCAATGAGCAGTCGCATTACAAATCAAAGGAGCGCAAGACCGTGCACCTCAAGACGGAGGCGTATTTTCTCAAGCTGCTGTTCGACCGCCCCTACATCAACGCCCTCAATACTGGCCAGCAAATCGGTATTTACTCGCTGGAGTGCAGTGGGCACGTTGTGGATCCTGTGGAGAGACACGCCGATGCACAGCCAATCGTCGGTGGGTCATCTCGGCCGGCCAGTATAGCTTTCAAGCCACCGAAAGAGGGTCGAGCGTTCAGCACCGCCGTCACGGAGACACCGGCGGTGGCGCAGTCTTCAGAACGCGGCTCTAGTGTCCCTGCCACACCATCTGAAGTTGCAGACGGTCACCCATTGCAACCTCCCGGGCCCACGACGCAGCCCATGAAGCTGGCGCTTTCGTCCAACGGCAGCGGGCCTTCGGAGAGCGTGCTAGGCGCTGCCTTTCGCTCTGTACGCATTTTAGAATTCGAAGACTTCTTCCTCCGCCGCTCTGAGGAGCTGGTTTCGTTAAAAGAGGAGGCGGTGGCGGTGGAGGACTTCGCTGTGGCAGCAGAGTGCAGAGACAAGTTGGCGCTGCTGAACAAACGAGCCAAGGAGGTTTACGAGCTCGAGCAAGACAAGGTGCAGGCCATCATCGACGAGAACTTTGAGGTGGCCCAACAGGTGAAGGTGCGCATGAACGACTTGGTGGGGCAGCTGTTTACGACGACAGCGCTGCCTGTCCCCGCGGCGTCAGGCAAGTCACCGGACAGCGCGGCCGCCTCGGAGACGTCCGATGATGGAGCCTCGCACGCACCAGCAGCGCCGCCCGCGGAGGCACCGCCGCATCGAAATCCGCACGTGCAGCCGACGTCGCCGCTGAGCTCGTCCAGCAAATCCGCAGACAACGCCATCACGGACAATGAGAGCGTCGTCAGCGAGGCGATCGAGGCGACGGAGGAGACGCAGCGCGTGGTCGACGCAAGTGCCTTGTCCTCACCCGAGAGAAGCGTGGCGCGGGCCATTCTCTCCACTGCTGGAAGCGAAGAGAGTACCTCGGTAGCGCTGTCGAGTCCGGGCTTTGATATTCAGCCTCTCATCTCAGCAGTGGGCATTTTTGCGGCGGCGTGTCTGCTCTCGCGGCGTTTCAAGCTGCGCGAGGCTGCACTGGTCGTCATCACGGAGCGCCACGATATGTTCAGTGCCGCCCCCTCCTTGATTGAAGATGCCGTGTTGCGCTTCCTTGACCACAATTCTTTCGGGCTGCAAGACCTGATCCCCAACGTTGTCTTTGCGGCGTGCACTTTCATACGCATGACACTGGCCGATGCAGCCGGCTGCATCGGCAGTGTCTTGGCGCCGCTCGTGGCGCTGCTGCCGCGTCTTCTCACCCGCTGCAGCGACAACCTCCAGCGCATCCGCGACGAGGCCCTGACGACGCTGACGCTCTACGTCAAGACGCCGGCCATCCCGGCCAACTCTGTTCTCTCCGCCACATTGATGGAGCCGATGGACAAGGAACGGCGAAAGCTGCCCTTCACCAACGCCAAGGCACAACTTTCACGTCTGAACCTCTTTCAGCTTGTCGTGGAACACGACCGCCTGCATTTGGAAGGCAATGCAGCTCTCTCCGGCAATGTACTGCAGAAGTTGTTGTTGCCGACGGTGAACCACCCCAACCCGGAAGTGCGTGACCTGGCTGTTTCCATTCTGGGAAAACTGGTTGCGGCGCGACAGATTACGCTGCGCGACAAGGACCTTGCTTTAATTAGAAACGGCGGAATTCGTGACGGCATTGCGAGTAAAAGAGCATAGTCCGTGCGACCTCGCCGGAGAGAAACCGCTGTCGGCTGTAATAGGAAAAGGGGAAGCGGTTTTTTAACGTTGTTCTGGTCGTTTTCGCCTGCTTCTTTGTGGGCTCATATTGCGGCCCCACCCTGCACCCGCCGGGCGCCTCTCATTTGCTTCTTTATGCACATACAGCTTTGAAGAGTTGCATTGGTAAGAGAAGCACACTTATGACAATAGGTGGGTTGCGCCGCCTTCTTGGGGCGGCTAATATGTTAGGTATATATAACCGCTTGATGCGCAGACTTGTTTTCGCTGCGTTAAGCGAGTACCGCGACCCGTTGGCGTTGCACGTCGGGTGACGTTGGATTGTCCTTGCCGCAGTGTCCGATTTTGCTGGCAGGCGAACGTAGCTTTCCTTCACCCTTTTCGTTTGTGTTTGCCCGCCTTCGTCTTTCACCTCCCGTACAGCGTCCATCACCTTCGTCAATTCACCTTGTCTTCCCCCCTCTCCTGCAAGCGCTCTTTTCTTTCCTGTTGCCTGAAATTGACGCCAGTTAAAACAGTAGCAGTAGCAGTTGCCAGAACAGAAAAACAACGCATCTGTGCTGTTTTGTGAGACAGGAAATACAGTGTACGTTGAACTGATCTGCTTGAACGTGTCTGAGAATTGTCCTAACGTGCTTGAATTTGCCTTCCCCACTGATAAGGTTGTTCACCAAGCAAAATCCTTTTTTGTTTTTCGACCATTGTTCCAGCACATATCGTGTCATGTCGCTTAGCGGACAGAAGCGCGAGGGCCTCGGGGAGGACATCGAGGAAGCCGAGGAAGCCTTCATCGATCTTGAAGACCCCGACGTGGACATCCTCGATGAGTCTGCCCTTCCCGTTGCAGAGTCGAGCGACGACGACGACGATGAGGAGCGGGGCCCTGACACCGCCGCGGGGGATGCCAGTGGAAACCCGCAGGAGAATGAGGAAGCGCAGCAGGAGGCGGAGATGGAGGACCTGAACGCCGCCCCTGACCACGAGCCGGAGCGTGACGACGCCTTCGCGACCTTCGAGGCACCGGAAAAGAAGCCGTTGCACACCATCGCTGTCAGTCCGCAAGATCCGACTATATTCGCGGCTGCCGGCGAGGGGGAGGATATTTACGTGCTGAGGGTCGAGGACAAAACCACGGAGCCGGTGCTGACGGCGACACTCAAAGGGCACAAGGACACCGTGAGTCTGCTCTCCTTCTCGCCCGACGGGTATTGGTTGGCCAGCGGCAGCCTGGACTCCACCATCGGCATCTGGTCGGTGGGGTTTTGGAACCGCGTCTACTGGTTCACTGACCTCTACGGCGAGATCATGACGCTTCTGTGGCACCCGTCCAGCCGAATCCTTGCGGCCGGTGCCGACGACACGCAGGCGGCCATGTGGAACGTGGATAAAGGCACCTTGGCGATGTACTTTGTGGGCCACCGCGGCGCGGTTACCTGCACCGTGTGGTCGCCGCAGACCAAGAAATTGATCACGGGCAGCAGCGACGGCTCGGTGAGCATCTTCGATCCCAAGACGGGCGAGCAGGAGGTCCACATTTCAAAGGACTTGAGCCCCGACAAGGCGGGTGTGACGGCGCTGCAGTTCGTCAACGACGACCAGTGCGTCGTCGGCTGCGAGGACGGCACATTACACGTCATTTCTCTCCGAAGTGCGAAGGCGGTGTCGCATCTGGAGGAGTTGCATGCGCAGGCAATTGAGTCTCTCGCCATGAGCGAGAATTCGCTGCTGCTGCTGACTGCCAGCTGCGACACGCGGGTGATTGTGTGGAACGTGGCGGACTTCACCCCCCGCACGATCCTGGAGGTGGGCGAGAGCGTCATCCCCGCGGTTTGGTTGAAGCCGTATTTCGTAGCGGCTGGTTGCAGTGACGGCGAGGTTCGCGTGTGGGACGGTCGGTCGTCGGAACAGCAGCCGTTGTCGGTGCTGATGGGGCACCGACGCATGGTGCTCAGCCTCGCCACCACCCGATCGGTGCTGGCGAGTGCAAGCGACGACGGCACAGCCAAGTTTTTCCGTTTCACCTCCACCTACGTGTGATTGACGCCGTGCGATGTAGAAAGAAAAGACAAAGTGGCTGCGTCTCAGTGGTTAGGGTGAGACAATATCGTGCTTTTGTTTGTAATCCAAGGTTTTAATGATGGAAATAGAACTAAACTGAGCTGCCTTTAGAAAAGAAGGGAAGAACGAGGAGCCGCAATACATACAGAAGTGACCAGCCGATTGCATGGCCCTTGAAAACTGAAAAAGAAAGCGCTCGCGCGTTGTCTCCCACTCGTGGTCTACTGAACTGCAGAGAGGCGATGAAGTTTTGTGTTTTCCTTTTCCCTTTATCGCGGAGTATGAGAAGTATCGATGTGGTGGTGGTGAGGCAGTTAGAGGCCACGCGCTCGGATTCCACTCGCTAACTAAGAGCGCGTTTTTTGATAACTGCTCCTGTTTGTTCTGCTCTGTGGTCGTCTCATCTTTTCCCTTTCTTTCTACGCAGAAGAAAAGAGTTCGCGTCCTCGCGACACACGCACACATCATACGTATCGATAAGCTGGTCCGTCGGGAAAGGCGAAACGTATTGCACCTCGGAGTCGTTCATCCCACACGTGATTAGCACAGTGCAGTTGGTGATGGACGACTTCGACACTGACGGTGCGCAGCACCTGGAGAACGGCCATGAGTCCAACGCGGCGTTGCTGCAGCTCCAAGACGCCTTTGTGAGTGCGTTGACCTCCTCCGGCGCGCTGGGCAAAATACGCGCTCAGCTTCGCGCGACGGCATTATCGCTTCTTCGGGGCGACGACGACCTGCAGCGTGCCGCGGTGGGCGATGTACTGAAGCCCGCCTCGCTGTCCGCAGCGTCAAAAATAAGTCTCCTTCTCCTTTACGACTTCCTGCAGTTTCACCACCTGCGCGAGACAGCTGGTGTGCTGGAGGTGGAAGGAAGCGTGCACCTGCTATCCGGCGAGCAAGACACCCTGCTTGGCGGCCTCAGAACACTGCCCGGTGAAGGGCCGTTGTTGGAACGCCTCGTCGAGTCGTGTGAGAAGGGCCACGTACCTCCATTCCTAGAGAAAGGCTCCCTTTCCGGTGGTGTTGTTCCAGACGCCCGCTCTCGGTTAACTGAGCCGAACATCGAGTCCCCGTCCCTGGCCTCCAGCTCGATCTCCACAGCGTTCAAGAAAACAACAACCACCACGGTAGCCCTGCCAGAGAACGAAGACGTGCTTCGTGAGTATCAAGCATACGAACCGTCGATTACGTTCTCCGATGTAGACGGTGTCCTAGAAGATGAGCGGCAATGCGACGAAGCGGAAGATGTTTAATTGACCCCTTTTTCTGCTTCCTCGTATGAAAATGGCTGCTCCGGAAAAACGGAAAGTGAAAGCGAGAGAGAAGAATTTCTGTCATTTGTTTCGGTTCTCCGAGACGAAGCGCGTGCAATCCATCGGGCAGGTGACTAAAGCAAGCTGGTCTCTCGTTTTTATTGCTGTTTTGCAGCACCAATTCTATGAGAAGTCGAACAAGAAACAACGGGCAATCGCCAACTTCAGCGTTTCTGGTTGCTCCTCCCCCCCTTTTTTTCTGAGTATCGCTTGGTATGGCGCTGCAACGCAACCTTCTAGGGTTCAATAGCGCGAAACGAGGGGCAGCGTTCATGCGGCATGTTGTTTCTACACTTAAGCGTCCTCTTTCTGCCCCCTTCTCATTCTCTCTGTCTCCTTTTTTCTCTTCCCTACTGCAGGACAGGAAAAGAACTAGTGACGAAAGATATATTATGTGCATTGTTGTACTCAGTGGCTAGATCAAGAAGGGGAGCAACTATGCGTCATTGTCTTCGATTGTGTTCGAAGGGTGTTGACATGACCGCGTATCGCTGCCTTCTGCAGGCACTGCGGCAGTGCGGTGTGGCGTATCAACGCGTTCTTCCAGATACGACACCGGCAGCGCTTTCCAGCGGAGCCGCATCGTCTTTTCTACCTTTGTTCACCACGAAGTTTCACTTCCATCAACATCAACTTACCACGCTGGGCGATGCTTTGGTGGACCGATACATTTCCGCGACGTTGCTTCAGTATTGCATCAGACGCGGCTCCGTTCTCACAACCAACGCGGCCGCGGAGATAAACGCCGTCCTGCACAACCACTTCACGCTGCGCCTTTTTGCAAAAGAGCTTCAGTTTGAAGCAATGGCAATGTCGCCAGAACAAAGCCTACACAGCCTAGACGACCTCTCCGATAACACACTCGGTTTCTTAGAGGCGGAGAGGGCGTCGGTGCGGAGGCAGGACGTCGCCGGCACGTCACACCAAGTTGCCCTCCTCGCGTGCGGGCAGAGCTCTCTCGGGTGGAAGTTCTCGCAGTTTGTCGGCGCCGTTCACCAGACCTTCGGTAGCGAGGCCGCCACCCGGGTACTCGAGCACGTTTATGCATTGCAGGACGAGCCCAACGTGCCACGGCGGGCGTCGCAGCTTCTCCTGCGGGTGCTCGAGCACTTCCCGGCGACGGGTGTGGCGGAGGCGGTGCTAGCCGCACAGGGCTTGGCAGTCCACTACACGGCCAAGTCGCGACTCCTTCCCGATGTCACAGAAGAAGTGAAGGCGGGCACCACCTCCTCCACGCAATCCGCTTCGCATGATGTGGAGGGGAAGGGAGAGATGGATCGCCAGCAACAACCATCATCATCTGATGCGTCCTGGAAGGGTGGGCGACCCGTTGATGAGCTGTCGATTGTCACTGGGTTCGACGTTGCCGGGGCGGAGCAGAGCGGTGTCACGCTGGACGGGCTGGGAGATGACGCGCTCAGGTCTGGTAATTTGGCGAAGGGTCCTGGCTTGATTGACTCGGCGGACATGTGGCGCCGGCGAACAGCGGAGTTGGTGACGCGGCGCCTAGAGCCTTCGCACGAGGCAGGAGCCTTGCTGACCTCTTCCACCAATTCCACCGATGGCTGGCTTTCCGCGCAGGAGCGGGCGACCTATGAGCGCGGCCCCGCCTTTGCGGGATGGGTGGACTTCGCGGCGTTTAGCACCTACGCCGACGTCTACGGACCCACGCAGCCGGAGAACGGCCGCATCGTGCGTCGCGTCAAATTTAAAAAGCACGTCCGCGACCCTCGCTTCTACGACACTATGTCGGATGCCCGCAACGGCGTGCCCTTCGACACAAATGGCGAGACGCTGTCAGACTACCTGAACGCCTTTACGCGGCCCCACCGCCGACTTTTCGAAGTGACGATGTTGGCGGGACGCGGTGGGGAAGTGAAGCTTGTCGGTCGCGCCATTTCGCCCCGCTACACGACCGCGAGGGAGAGCGCCGCACGTGCGTTCTTGGGTGGTGCGCTGCGCGACGTCTTGGCTCTTGAAGGTTCCGTGGGAGAGAGCGGGCGAGAAGCGCCGAGTTCTTAACTGTGTTCACATAAAACTGCGTTTAACGGAGAGTCAGACAAACCGCCGAAGATGCAACATTTTCGACTACGGCTATTTGATGTCGGTAATGAAATTGAGCCGGCAGACGAGCCTGGAAAGATAAAGAGGATTTCTCTAACGAAACGGAACTTGCAACGCATTCTGCTCCGCGAAAGAGGGGAATGTATCCGACTAAACTTGCCCGTCCAGGTTCCTTAAACGAAGGAATGCCCCATACCCAGTTTTTTCTTCCTCCGTTCTTTTGAATCTCCGTGTCTCCTGCAATTTTAGCGTTGCGTTTTTTTTTATACCTTTCATACTCCCCGCGGCAGGCGATAGATGTTGTGGTGCAAAGACACGTTTGAGCGTCATTTTGAACGCAACGAATGCCGACTCTTCCCGGTACAGCAGCAACTCTTTGATTTCGTCGACGACGCAGCGGCGAAACAAGGCGAGAACACGTGGCTGTGCTTTTGCATTGAGTTTCCCTCCGTGAGCGAGGTCTCTCGGCTGCTCTCTCGCCACACCGCCAGCGACCGTGCGCGGGCACTGTTTCAATCCAAGCAAATTGCTGCGGCGGCACAAGGCGGCGCCGTTGAGCTGCGGAAACGTCCACGCGAGGATTTTGCGCTCTTGTACGGCGAGACTCCCCTCTCGCAGCAGAGCCGCATGTTTCTTGCGGCAACACTCACCGGTCTCCGTTCTGTTCTCGCCACGATAGATGCTCGCCAGCTTCACCTGTACGAGATTATTCGGGAAGGCTCACCTTGCCATTTATACTTCGACGTCGAGAGAGACGGCGATTACGTCGCTCTCCGCACGGCCATCTGCGTTGACGACGACTCCAACTCCTCCTCTGTCGTTGCCGGCGACGACTCTTTTGTGTGCGTCGAGGAAGCTGCAGATGGGAAGAGGCACACGTCGTTTCAATGCAGCGTTTTGCGCTACCAGCAGCTATGGCATCGCGCGGCAGGTGCGCCGCCTGACGTGTGCGGTCTGAACTGCGCTGTCGAGCCCGATAATGCGCACACCTGCGATGTTCTCTTGCGTGAGTTAGAGGCTTTTGTCCGCGATCGATTTCCGTCGCTAATCGACCCACAGGAAGACGAGGGCGAGAGCTGTGCGTTCGAGGAGGTGTGGGTACTCGAGTCGGTACCGCTGTTTGGCGTGGCCACGAAGTTTTCGCAGCATTACGTCATCAAGTTCAAAAACACCGTATTTGACTCAACGAACTCTGTGAAGTTGTTTGTGCGCCAGCTCGTCGCCTACCTCAGTGATCGAGCAACTCGCGAGAGCAGCATCCACCGCAGTCTGTTTTTTCACGGCTCCCCTGCGTGGTACGCGGTGTTCCACGAACTGGCACCCGATTACCCACGTAACACACTGCCATACCTGCCGCGTAAGTGTGTGGTGGACGAAGCCGTGTACTCCAAAAACCGGATGATGCGTTGCTTGGGCAGCTGCAAGCTGGGCAAGTCCAGCGTTCTGCGCGTGCACCGGCACTACCTTCGCGCTCGACGCCAGCACCTGATGCCCGACTCCGAGTCCGCCCCGCCATCGCTGGATGTTTTTCTCGCAACGATGATTTCGCACCGGCCCTCCTCAGGGACGGCAATTCGTGCATTTCATGTCGACGGCCAATCGGATGACTGCCGTGGAGGTGGTGGACGCAATGCCTGGCCGAGCTGCGCAGGCGCAGCAAAGACAGTGGATGCGTCACGGTGGGAAGCGACCCGTCCGGCGGAGGACGAGACGCTGAGCCGGCTTTCAATCCTGCTGCAGCGGGCGTATACAAAGATTGCACACTGCGAATGCGCCGTTTTACGCCCGCGCAGACTACACGACCGTTTTTTGACTTTTCAGGTGCATGGGACGCGGTACTGTCAGCACGTGGGGCGAGAGCATAAATCGAACAACGTGTACCTCGTAGTGGATCTCGCGAAGCGGACCTTTGTGCAGAAGTGCTTCGACCCCGATTGCGTGTCCTACCGGTCACCACCCTTCCTGCTCGATACGGCGCTACCCCCCGAAACGTAATGTACGCTCTTCACGGAGAAACGTGTTTTTCCCCCTTTTATTGGCAGCTGTGAAATACGCTACGTGCGTTTTGCACGCTCAGGTGCTCTGCTATTCGCTCGATAAAAGTATATGACCAAATAAGTAAACCGACTTGGCCTTCTCACTCACAGAACATATTGAAGATACTAAGTGTTATCGATATATACATTGTGTTCCCAGATACTGTAAGAGGGAACGCTGCACATGATTTTCAAAGTTCTCCTGCCATCTGGGCATCTTCAGAAGTGCGCGTGTCTGCCCAAAGACAAATCGTTTTCTGTCTCTTTTTTTGGCCTTTGTGGTGCCGGACTTTGCCGCAGGGATGCGTCTCTACTAAAAGAAAAAAAACCCGAAACACACACACACACACACTTCAAAATTGATAATTTGTTTTGTTCCAAGTCTAAACCTTCTATTGTCTCTCGCACAGAAACCAGCAGCCGTACTTGCAGTGACCATGTCCGTCACTGTGAACACCGTTTCCGGTGGCCCGATCACGCTCGACGCGAGCGCGGAGAACATCTATGGCTTCCACCCTGGTCAGATTGTGCACTTCACGAAGAGTCTTCGCAACGGCAAGGTAGCTCTTATTCGCGGCACCCACGAGGGTCTGATTTGGTTTTCCGTTTTCTCCAACGTCGCCGCCGCTGCCACCAAGGAGGCTCTCGACGCCCCGGCCGACACGGTGAGTTGCCGCGGCAAGGAGGAGCTAATCCGTCAGTATGGGTGGATGGTCGATGACACAACTAACCCCTTTGCACAGGCACAGGCTGAGTGACCGCATCCATATCGTCTTGTGACCCGTGCGGCGCACTGCTCTAAGTCGAGGCGCAGAGCGGACTTACGTTCTGAAGCTCTCAAAATACTATATATCTAAATAGGTGAGTGTTAAAAGAGTCCTCCGTTATCATGTAGTGACACAAGTGTCTTGAAGTATTGAATGAGACCGTGCCATTACTTGGGGACACGTTTGACATGAATCATCGTCTTGTTTCTTTTTAATTTGCCACCTACGTTGCGATCTGCGGCTTTTTTTTTGTGCTTTTGCCGAAATAAGTATGGCTCACACACTTTGTAACCTGCAGGAAGTCTATGATGTGATGCTCTTTTGTCGGCTTGCAGTTCACTGCCGCTTCTTCGCTCACACATGCGGCTACTGTGCTCGCGCACCCACTCTTTCTACTTCTCTTTCCTTCTCACGTCTCTCTCCCGAGCTCAGTTCTATGCTCTCGACACAGTTGTGTTTGACTGAGCTGAGCACAAATACGCCAACTCGGCTGTTGTTTCACTGGCGGCGGTTCACCGTGTCGCTTCTTCTTTGTTTTCTTCTCTGTTGTTTTTGGTTTTGCCACCAGGCACCGAAACTGCGCCTGAGCCATGCGCCGCAGCACCGTTGGACGGTATTATTGGTCGAGGTACCGGATACCGTCACAGATGCCGAAGTTTGACGGCCCGGCCCCTGTCGCGGCACCGCAGAACATGAACAGCACCAAAACCAACGAGTTCATCGACCCCATCGATGACAAGTTTCCCATTTCTATTCGCGGCAACCTCGTCCGTCCTGATGTGCCGGAGGACCAGTACGTGGACAGCTGGTACGTTTGCACCTCCATGACGCACCACCTCGGTGACTACCGTCCGTGGAGCGCCAGTGCGCCGGCTAACGCCTTTCGCTTCCGCCCGTACAACGAGTTCGACGCGAAGGGGCGCGAGTACGTGCAGCACCTGAGCGAGGCCCAGCGCTACACCCCCCGGTCATCACGCGGGAAAGGCGCGAAGGGCTTTCCATTTCGTGAAGCCTACCTCACAAAGATGAACACAGCAGAGACGGCCACGCCGCCGCCGTCGCTGGAGACGATTATGAGCCGCGCCGTTGTGGAGCGCCTGCAGCACTCCAAAATTCTGAGTCCGCTGGAGGTGCAGCGCGATGTGGGCCGTCTAGAGGAACCGCTGCCGTGTGCCGGCAAAATTGCTGCCGACCGCTCCACTTTCCCCTTCCAGTGGAACACGGAGGACTGGTACGAGTACGAGGTTGCCAAGGCACGTAATAAGCGCTTTACCTTCGAAAACGCAAATGCCAACACGCTGCAGGGCTCTGAGGTGACGTATCGCATCGTGCTGGAGGGATTCTGGGACCACCACGTGATGAAGCTGGCAGACGACGTCGTTATGTTCCTGAAGGACGTGGGCCGACAGGTGGTGGAGGAGAAGCTGCGTAACGTGCGGGCGAGCATTGAGAGCTTAGACAACGGTGGGGCGGTGGACCCGGAGATGGTGGCGGCCTTCAACGCCTCGCTGAAAGGTCCCTTCGGGGGCGCCGACCACTACGCCGCCGAGGAGGTGGCCAACTTTCTGCGTAGCGAGTGGGAGCGGCTGGAGGAGCAGTGTGTGGGCCTCATCAACCGCGCCAACGTGCCTATTCCAGGGACGGCCAACATGTACGACGCCAATGTGTCGTGGCCGTACGTGGAGAAGATGGAGCCGTGGACGCGGCTGGCCGAGTTCTGGACCTCATCTTCCGACACCTCCTTCACCGAGTTAGAGATGTCCACCGCGCATTACGAGTTCCGCAAGTACTTCCGCGTGGTGGTGGTGAAGATGCCGTTTCAGAGTACGGAGTTCGAGCAGCGGATGTACGGCATCCGTCACTGGCTGCACCGCCAGACGAGCTGCGAGTTTCACACAACGTACCGGCGCAACATCGTCCACGATACCGCCGTGTTCCCGACGGAGCACGACGTCGACGTGAAACCGACGCATGAGCACCACCGCCTCTTCTCTTTCGCGTTGGATTGGCAGAGTGCCCCTGTGGACTTCCTCGATGTGGAGATATGCCAGGAGGGGGACTCGTGGGCCTCTGTAGCCCAGCGGCTCGGGTGCACAGAGGAGGCGCTGAAGAACGCCAACGACACGCTAGAGACCCTCAGCGCCGGGGTGTCGGTGAACGTGCCTGGCACCTCCACGCGACGCCTGACAAGCACCAGCAGCGTCCCCGCCTTGCTGCCGCTGCAGCCCGGTGACGGCAAACCGGCGGTGACGTCGTGGCGCATGGCGGCCGAGCTGCTCGGGTGCTCCGTGGAAGAGTTGCAGCAGGCCAACGGCGAGGCAGCACTCACCTACAAGGCTGCCGACGGGGGCGCCGATGGCTGCTTCGACCCGTCGGTGAGAGAGCTGATGGTGCCTTACACCGTCACCTTCGCCTCCCTCGAGACCTCCTTTGCCAGCGCCGAGCCTGTCTTTGAGGGCGACACGTGGGCCACCGTCGCGGCACGCCTCGGCTGCAGCGAGGCCGACCTGCACAGCTGCAACGACGCTGCAGGCGCTGAGCTCTCCACTTTTGCGACGGTTCGCGTGCCTGTCACGGCCAAGACGCCTCGCCGCATTACGCATCCGCAGCTGCGCCCGCAGGCCGCGACGGATGCCCTGCTGGCCCGCACGTTAGGCGAGAAAGCTGTTTCCGGCCTGGCGGAGATCCCGAGTTTCCCGCCGAATGCGGAGAAGTTCCCGCACGAGTACCACACCCCTACCTCGCGCTTTCCAACAACGCCACGGGAGTCCAGCGCGAGCGACAACTGGATTGCCTACACGGCCAAGTACCTGGACAAACAGCTGCTGCTCCAGGATGAGCCCACGCCGGTGTACAACGTGAACAAACTGTGGCCGATGCAACAGGTGCCGGGCAAAGTCGACCAAACGCCCTTCGAAGAAGATCAGACGTGGTTCATGCACCCGATTCCTGTTCAGCAAATGGAGCAGCACGATCCGGAAAAGGATCTGCAGGATCTGCCGTTTGTCAATCACGAACAGTTCCCGCGTTCGCTGGACTGGACAGCGCCGTAGGCTCTCAGACTGGACTGTCACCTGATAGTGTTCCACCTCTTTTCTCTTCTGTTTGGGTTTGTCTTGTGACGGCTGTGTGCACGGCTGCGCCGAACGGCGTCTTCCCACGTGTGAGATGTTGTTGTTGTTGATGCCGACTGCATCGTTGTGCTCGTTTGTGTGGACGGTCCCGATATTCTCTGGGGAGGCATTCGTGTGAGTGGCAGGTCAGATGAGTTTTGGTTGTTACACATTCTTTTCATCGTACAAAACAATAATAAAGTACACATCGTGGTTGGCAAGCGTGATCTGTTCACACGCGAGACAAGAAGAGAACGAGCAAACTCGAGACTCCCTATGATGCTCGTTGTGATACCGGGTCTCACAGATTACAACGCCGCTCTTTTCCCCTTTCCTTTTCTAGGGCAAATTTGTGGAAACACATTTGAAGTTTTTTTTTGAATACTGCGCACAAGGTGCCGGTGGGGTGCGTAGACGCTACCTTCGTTGCATGGCGTTACATTGCACTTGTTTCCGCCTCTGCCACGTCGCACGAAACACACCTCTCTTCTCCCTCTAAAAGACCGATGATATTCTGTTTCCTCTTTTTCTCTTGAAATCGTACCCTGGCATTCTTCGCGAGGCACCTGTGATAAATGGCCGGCAGTTTCCTTTCACAGCGTCCGCTGCTGATGATGGATTCGCGGAAACGTATCACTGAGGCTGCTGTTCTTCATCAACTCGCCGAGCTTACCGACCGAGCCGGTTTCATTTCTCCGTTGTGGTTCTCCTACAACCTGGCGCGCCGCAGCAACTTCAATCTCAAGCCCCAAACTGTTCCTGTTAATGTCTGGCATCCTCTCTGCGGGAACGCATTCTGTGCAGCCCATCCAGCACATTCTACATGCATTTTTCCGACCGAAGAAACCGTCGAAACGCCTGCCACCGGCGGTAACCAACTGTACGTTCTTTCGGATCTAGCTTATAAGAAGTACACATGGGTCTCCGTGTGTCCCTCGATCTCACAGTTCTTTCAGACTCCACGTAGCATGATGGCACCGCCATACTATTGGGTGCCTACCCGACTGAGTCGTATTGTGCCGGTGTATGTTGCGCAGTCCATTACCCTTCCGCCGTTTCTGACACTCGTCAACCTTGATCAACTGGAGGAGTCACGGGGTTTAACGGATATGCTTCAGCGAGTGTCTTCGCCAAGGTGAAGAAACGGCTCCCCGTTGCACGCAAACGAACACGAAATCCCTTTTGTTTTGCTGCGCCGTTGCTCCCTCTTTGACTCCCTGCTACGTTCACTCGTCTGCTTTTCCTTTCTGCTTCCCCCAACGAATCGAAGTCAACTGATATGTCTCGGGGGCTTTCTTACTAACTTGTTTCACGCGGCTTTCGCCATAAATGTTGCATCGCGTCTTGTAGCGGTTGCGGTAACAAAAACGTGCAGAGAATATGGGAAAGCGCCAGATTGAACTGCTGATGTTGATGTACGACAGTAATGTAGGAAACTGTTGGCTCCGAGGAAACACTGCCGTTGCGTTCATTTCTTCGTTTGGCGCTACTCCCTCTACTTTTCTTCTCCGTATCGCTGGATACGTTTTTTTATCAACGGTTTTCTCTTACACACTTGATCTTGATAAAGGCACGCCAACTCTAAAAAAAAGTAGAGGAATATGCTCCCTTCTCTTCAAGCTTCTCGGTGAGCACGCGGCAGCGGTGTCGGTGAGGAACAGAACCTCGCACCGTCCGATTGAATCCGCGGCGCTTTCCCCTGAACACTTCCAACAATTCAAAGAAGGGCAAACCTCCCATCCGACTGGACCACCGTTGTCCATCGCTTCTACGCTGCCTGGATTGCGAAGCATAACGGGCGCTACTACCGGCTGCGGACGCTGCCGACTGGTGCGCGGTGGAGTGTTGCGGTGGGGCAGGCAGTGACGTGGGTGATCGTTGACATCGACACGCCCGTCACGATCAGCACCCTCATCGACAAAATCCTGGTTGCCGCCCGCGAGGGCGAGGAGGCGGAGTTCGTGCGCGCGGTGCGCAGCGTCGTGGCGCGCATCAAGGCGGCGAACCTGATGACGTCGCCGAACCGCGACGAGCTGGAGGCGATGTCGGACGCGGAGCTGCTGGCGCTGGCCAGCGAGAACACGGTGTTCCTCGGCGAGGAGTACACGTGGAACGGCCGCGCACTGGAGGCGATGCACACGGGTCGCGACCGAGCGGGCGTGTCGCCTGAGCAGCAGCACACATGCGTGCCGGAGGACGAGGCGTCTGCGGACCCGTTCCTCGCACGCCACTCGGCGCACGCTGAGCCCCGTGCGGCCGAGCTGATGCTACGCCATCTGGTGGAGCACCACCACATCCGTGACGGCGCGCGCATCGCGCTTGTGACGGACCACAAGGCCATCGTCATTGTCGCCATGAACACGGCGGCCTCCTCAGGTGGCTCTGTCACCACGGATAGCGCTTGCGTGGTTCCTGCCAGCAAGTAAAACACCACGTCGGGGCAGAGTTTACGTGACCCTGCCAATTTTTAAAAAGACGTGATTGTTCGGTTTATTTAACTGCCGTGGAGTTTTTTCTTCGACCCGCTGTCTCCGTTAGAGTGACTCCCTCTAACCAACGTGGGGGACGCGGTAGGGTCCTTGGCCAAAAGTACACCACAAGGGATAAATGAGTCCCACGGGAGCGTCAGCGACGTGCGACGCGATTTATGCCCGTCATGTGGAATGAAAGCTTCAGAACACAGGCGACCAGCGTGTGTGGCAGCTATTCTATCACGTTCGTAGTTCCCCTCCTTCTCTCACCACCTCCCTTTCAGCTGTGCGACGAAGGAAAACAGAATGGAAAAGCGTCGACGAGTTTGCCTGCTGAGCGCTTAGGTCGCTCCGCCGGCTCGCACTCAACGTTCGCTGTAAAACGAGCGTACTGTGTATGGCGCTGTCTTTTTCAGCAATGCTTTCCTTTGATCGTTTGGAAGGTGTGATACGTTATTCATAGAGGTAAACTAACTCGTGTTTATCAGCTCCATGTGTGCAATGTGATGTGGCGCACCGCGCAGCTACTCCGCTCTATCCTTTCCTCCCCCGTTTCTATCCATTCTTACCCACATCGGCTGTTGTGCTTCTGTGGTCAATGGAAGAGAAGGCTGCTCGCCTGCGACATCGATTCTATATACTCCCTCTTTTTTTCTTTCGCTCGCAGCACTTTCTCTGCGTTTTCGGCCTTCTCTTTCCGTCTGCCTCCGTCTCACACCCGCAGTGCTGAGTTGACCTCTCGCGGGCGTCCTCTGCCCACATCACGGAACTGAAAATGATCATAAAGGAGCACAAGAAGGCGTTTGAACAGAGTAAGGCGGTTTATGAGAGCGCACTGCTCGCCTTCAAGGGTGTCGACGGCTTCGATGTGTACAACTGCTCCGTCCCCTTCAAGTACAAAGGAAGGCGCCACATCTACGGCCGTGTCGAGAAGCGCGAGATTTGGGCCGCCTCGCACGTCCGCCTGTTCGAGGAGACCGGCAAGGATGAGTTCACCGCCGTCCCGGAGTTCAGCATCGAGCTGGAGGACCCGTACATACAGAACATCAAGAACGAGATGATTTTTGGTGGCACCCACGTCCGCAAGGACGGTGAGGCGGTGCTCAGCTACTTTGGCTACTTCTACCGCGGCACCCCCACCGAGCTGAACTACTTCACCACCGGCCCCGACTTTATGAAGGACATCCGTGTGCTCCAGCTGCACGACGGCCGACTGGGCATCTTTTCACGTGTGCGCACCAAGGTCGAGGTGTACGTCGGGTTCGCCACCGTGGACAGCATCGATCACCTCACCACCGCTGCCATCGCGGGGGCAAAGCCCATCGACTTCATCCGGCCCGGCATGTGGGGTGGCGTTAATCAGCCCTATCTGCTGACGAGCGGAAAGGTGGGGTGCATCGGCCACATCGCCTACAACGACAAGAAGCCCAACGGCGACCCGCTGTCAGTGTACGTTAACTGCGCCTTTGTTTTCGATCCCGTGACGCGCGCGATGGAGAATGAAAAGGTTATTGGAACCAAGTCTTGTTATCCCTCCTGTCCGGCCAAAAAACCAAATTTGGAGGACTGCGTCTTCGCCTCCGGTATCGTGATGCGCGAGGACGGCAAGTGCGACCTCTACAGCGGCCTGGGCGATACCGGCGAGGGCCGCATCACCATCGACTACCCATTCGAAGGATATGGACAAATTGTTGGCCACCTCGAGTACTAATCCTGTCGTGCTTGAGTTTTTTTTTTGTACTTCATTCCTCCTTGAAGTGTGTTTCCCTTGCCGCTTTGCTGCGACCAGTTGCTTCTATCTTCCCCTTTCTCTGCCCTGGGTAGATCTGTTATGTTTCAGTGACAGCATCTGAAGACAGAGTACATATCTCCAAATAAGATTACCTTTCTTTCTCCTCTTCGTTTTTCTAGCCGCCCCTTCTGACCACCCGTCCCAACAATTCTCGTTGACCGCAACGTTGCGTAGTCGAACGAATAAAAAGAAACGAAGAACGGAAGGGCCCTCGAAATAATGTGACGTGCGACAGGCTTTAGAACCGAACGTTTGATCGACAATGGCAGAGCCAAAAGCGTCTCCGCGGCTTATGCACATCGCAGTTGAAAGGGGGAATTTAGAAGGTGTTTTAACGCCATCTCAAGACTACGATGTACACTATCTTCTTTTGACGCAGGGGTGTGGTTTCTTCTCTTCTGCGTTTATCACCGTCTTTTCTCTTCCTCTGTACCGTTCTTTGTTCTCTTCTCTCTTTCATCATTGGGTCACCGTACAGCTAACAAGACAAAGACGAAGCACTCTCCACCTTGGTCTTTCTACGGCTCTCAAAACAGCTCATTTTTCCCTTTCTTTTTCTTTCATTCCCTTTGTACGCCATGACAGCTGAGGCTGCTGTTGGCAACATCGTGGGCGGCGATGACGTCGGCATGCCAACTTTGGCTCGCCAGCCGGCAATTGATGAGCCCGGCTATGTCCACCCTGACTCCGCAGCGCTCTTCTCCGTCGTTCCGTGCGTAAAGGCGATCCCCATCTTCGGCAATGCAGTGGAGCCCTTCGGGCCCAAGTGCGTGACGTCGCTGGGCATGGTATACATCCTCAGCAAAGGCGTCGGCAAGACGTTGCTGACCACCTCCCAGTACGCGATGTTCATGAAGAAGTACGGTGTCACGCCGGAGGTGTACCAGCGCATGCATGGCATCAGCTCCATGGGCTTCTCCATCAAGCCTCTCACCGCCGTCCTCAGCGACACCTTCTCCTTCTTTGGCTACACGAAGCGGTGGTACATGGCGTTTTCGTGCATCGCCGGAGCCGTGTGCGCTGTGGTGTACGGCGTGTTGCCATTTAAAGAGTCGAGCGCCGGGATTGCAGGTGCGATGATCTTTCTATCATCCTTTTGCATTGCAAACATCGATGTGATGTCGGAAGGCCACTACAGCCGCCTGATCAAACGCCAACCTGTCCCTGGGGCCGATCTCATTTCGTGGATCTGGGCTTTGATCATGGTGGGTCAGGTTATCGCCTCTGCCATCCAGGGACCGCTGTCGGACTCTGGCCGTCCCACCATCGGCATCTTCATATCCGCCGGCTTGCAGGCGGTGTGTGTGTTCTTCTTCATCTTCAACTGGTACGGTGAGAAGAAAAACGCCGTGGAGCGCCGCGAGGATTTCGTATTTTTGCTGAAACAGGAGGCACTGAGGCAGCAGGAGATGAGCTCGGAGTCCTTCAAGGACGGCATGGTCGTCTACGGCAACGCACCGGACAACGTGAAGGTTCAGCCGCAGTTTGGCAGTGAAGGCAGTTCTCAGGAGGGTGTCCCGAACGAGCTGGTTCAGTTTGGTGAGCTGGACAACGAGACACAAGAGGAGGAGGAGATGAACGTTGACTTCGAGGTGCCCACGTGCATGTGCGGCATTTTTGGCGTGAATCAAGAAGTCATCTTACGCAACGCCTCCGTCGCAGTCTACGGTGTCGTCCTCACTGCGGGTGCCGTCGTCTTGACCATTCTCAACATCGTCGGCACGACCTATCAGCTGCTGTACGGCTGCGTGGTGATCTCCGTCGTGCTGTGCGTGACTGGCTTCCTCTGCATCCCGGTGACGATAATGAAGGCGAACTTCTTCGGGTGGTGCCAACTCGTGTCCTACATCATTATCACCGGTGCGACGGACAACTTCTACATGGCAGACGCAGACTGTCTTCCTGATGGCCCCCACTTCTCGCAGACGTTCTACAACACCGTCGGCGCGGTCATCGGCAACGTTGCCGGTCTCTTAGGTGTGTACATGTTCTCGCGCGTCTTCTCGAAGCAGAGCTACCGTGTAACGTTGATTATCACCACGCTGGTCCAGGTTTTTGCAAGCGTGTTTGACGTCATCATCGTCGAGCGCTGGAATCTGTATATCGGCATTCCTGATCACGCGATGTACATCATGGGCGATGCTGTTGTGTACCAGGTGTGCTACATGCTGAACTTCATGCCGCTGAACATGCTGATCTCCCGTCTGTGCCCGAAGGGCTGCGAGAGCACGATGTTTGCCATCCTGGCGAGCTTCAGCAACTTGGGTACGTCGACGTCGTCCACGATTGGCGCGATTTTGATGGAGACGGCGTGGCCGATCCGCTCGAAAGCCCCATGCGACTTCAGCAACTTGCACTGGCTCATCATCACCGGTCACCTCATCACGCCCCTCCTCGCCATCCCGCTGGTGTTTGTCCTGATCCCCGGTGCCCGCATCTGCGACCCCATCGACCCGAAGGAGGTGGAAGCCCTGTCCATCTTTCAGAAGTGGCTGAACAAGTTCAACGCCACGTCCAACACTCCCGCTGCAGCAGAAATCAGTCGTCTCCTCGGAGGAACAGTCTTAAGAAAAGAAAAGGAAACGAGTGTTTACCTCCAGGTGCGTGCTGTCGCTTCGACACATCTTGCTGATTTTGGATGCGCAGTGCTTTTCAATGGCAGGCACACAAACCCTGCCGCACTTTGTTTCCTAAAATATGTTACCTTTGCTACTTCTTCTTTATTTCTTTTGAAAGTGTTTTGTACTGACAGCGGATGCGACTGTTTATGTAAGCACAGAAAGTGATCTACGGAAAAACGACACTTCACCCTGAATTCGTAACGGGTGCGTGTCTGTTGCTTCATTAAGACACTCCGTCAAATGAACGGAAAACGCATAGATATCGCATTTTTTTTTTGAAATACTAAAAAGAAAAGCAATTCCCTTTGTTTTTTTTTAGCTTACTCTGAAAAAAAATGAGAACAGAAATGCCGCGTAAACCTGCGTAGTGTTTTTTTCTCTTTGGTAACTCTACTCACTCTAAAAGTAAAAAGGAGAAGAGGTGCTAGTATTTTATTGTCAAGCTGATGATTATTTTGTTTTCTTTATAACCCAATGAGTGATGATTGCATGCGCTACTTTGGACACAGCCCTCCACAGTGCTACGAGGGTGGCGTCATTTTGTATTTACACGAAATTGGAGAGCGGCGCAAGCGTCCAAATAGCGCGTTCAAAACTCATTTTTCTTTGGTGTTCCGTAGTTGATGGACTATAAAAAAAGAAATGTACTTTATTAAACTACGTGTTCCGATACGCTCTGTAGCAGTTCACTTGTAGGTTGCGCACACCAACACTGCGCATTTCCTTCCAACTAGCTGCTGCGAGAATTCTGGCACATCTCGGTGAAAGTATCCAGCTCAAACACACTGGCGATCATGAGGCTTCAGAGAACTTTTTCATTCGTAACGGCATCAAACCGAAGAGCAAGCAACTGAACAGGCGCGGTTGAGCAAAACTGCACACGCGTGTCGACTGCGGTGCGAGGTATCTACGCTGTTCGGTTGCGTTGCGGATTTCTCGTACTCTGCAAGCGCTGCACTTTATTATTGTAGTTTCATTCTTCGTTTTTTTTCTGTTTTCAAATGCTACAAATACACGCCTTTCTCTTCTTTTATCACTGTTGTACACGCGGAATAATGAAGGTTGGGCATTCTAAACACGCCAGTAAAGAAGAAAATAATACAGTTAGCTTATTTATTGCAGAGAGCATTCACGTGGCTAAGTTGTTGAACAGTCAAAGGGAGGATGCTCTCGCAGCTCCCGTGGTGCCATCGCGGTGCGGAATGCTGCGCAACACCAAACTCAAGTGTTGCGGCCTCCATTTATTAGATTCTGTTGCTTTCTTTGCAGCGAAAACTGCTGGGACTGTTTTCAATGCATGGTCGAGGCAAACACGGTTATTTCCCCTCTCCCTCTCGTGTCGATGTGCACATCTTCTTTCTTTTCTCGCCACATTTCTTTTCTTTTGCTTCTACGGGTGTATCGTCGCAGATCAAGAAAGAAGCCGTCATTGTTCACACCTTTTCCCCCATCCTCAAGCTGACCCACGAACAGAGACCACACACACAGACACGCACACAAGTGATGGCACAACTATACGTGCACTACGCAAGCCACGTGGCGGACGTTAACGCAACTCTTCCCTACAACGCCGCAGATGCCGATGTTCGTGCATCGCTGTCGCGTCTGTACGGCGACGGTTTGTCGCAAGTGGTGAGTTTCATGGACCCGCAGTTCATCACCCGACATCTCCGAACCCTGAGTGCCGTGTGTCCACAGATGAGACTGGACACGGAGGCGCTGACAAAAAGAGCTGACGTTGGAGAGAACTGTCGTGGTGTCGTGACACAAGACAACCACCTGATCTACCGGATCGCGTCGGTGAAACGCGGTCTAACTCCACAAAGGCTTGCGGAGTCGCTGTGGTGGGCGGATCGGTGCGGGCTGCCGCTGACTGTCACCGTCGGCAATGAGCGCAGAGACGTGCTGGCGTCTCTCACGGATCGTGTGCGAGACCGAGTGGAGGAGCTGCAGATCTATGTCGACACAGTAGCTGCGAGCGTGCAAAACTTCGCAGCGGCGCGCGACGGTCAGTGCGGCAACTTTCTCTGTGCGCTTTTGACGTTTCCAAACATGACAAAGCTGTTGATTGCGTGCAGTGAAGCTGATGCTGGCGCTCGTGCATCTGTCGATGTGAATCACGCGTTGCAGTGTGCAGCGCAGCTGCCGATCAGCCAGCTATGCATTCGAGGTTTTATGGGGCTGACGAATCTCTCCGCACTGGCGGAATCGCAGCACCTTCAACACCTGACAGCCACCCGTTGTAGAATACAGTCGGTAACAGAGTT